AATCAAATTCGACGGGGAAAACAAATCACCACGGGGTCGAACGACGGCACGCATCTTTTCTCGGGCACGCCACCGCGCTCCCCCCCCCCCCCCCCCCTTTTTTTTTTCTTCTTTATTTCTTTATTTTTTTAAATAAATATATTATGCCGCATTTTACGTTCACAAAGAACAAATATAAAAGTGTAAAAACGTTCGTCTGCTTCTTTATTCCTCCCCCCCCCCCCCCCTCCTTTTTTTTAGTATATCATGGCGACAAAAAGTTGTCTGCCTTGCCAGCTGCCGTCCCCAAGGAGGCATCTTGAGCGTATGATGCGTATTTTTTTGTCGAACCTGTTCGAGGTTCGAATGCGTCATACGAATCTTTGACTTTTTGGCAAAATTCGACGAAGTGCGACTTTTTAAAAGTGACCCGACTTTTAAACAAAAAGAGAAATATTAAGTTTTCATCGGGGGAAAAAAAATGAATTCTGTAAAAGGAAGAGTGTGGCCCGGCTTTGATACGAAGATTCCGAATATTTGAGAACAATAATTGCCGCGATAGTTCGTTTTATAATTTTACACAATATCAAAAGCAAACACCGAAGATTTTCATGGCGTGTATGCTAATGCAAAACAATGCACCAGACAAACGTCGTCCCTCCTCTCCGCTGCGTGGCACCACCTCACCTTCAATTTCCGCGTACTCGAAATTCAGTCCTGTCAAACTTCGCGTCAAAAGTTCAAAAAAAAAAAAAAAAAAAAAAGTCGACTCAAACTCCGATAGGTTTGCGGCATTCATAGACATGACAGAGCTAAAGCCGTCTCGCTCGAAAGCATATAAAACAGTGAAAAGATTACAAAAAAACAAAAAAACTATGCACCAAGAAAACAGACATATTCTAACACCCCCCCCCCCCCCCCCCCCTTTTCCCCCGCTGTGAAATCCTAGAATCGGGCCCACCGTCAGGGAGGAAATGCCACGCACTACGGTGTGCGTTGATGTGCATTGTGTCAAGGACTGTCAGTGCCAGATGAGGACGGCTGTGCGTGTTCAAAAATAAGGAATAGCGCGAAGGAAAAAAGAATCGCGCCACAATTAGCTTTTGCAGAAGGTACGACAACCGTAAGTGGCGGTGTCTGTCGACATCCAGTCCAAGGGTACGCACTTCGTAGAAGCTTTCCCACCGAAAGTTCTAAGGCTGAATTTCTTCTAACGTGAATGTGTCGTTACTTCTGCCCGTTCCTTTCATATTTGTAGTAAAAAGTGAAAGGAAATTAACCGACCGGAAAATAAATCATATCCGTCGTGGAATTCGAAGACACTCATCCGACTTCACTTGAAGCGGGGGTCACGTGCGCCATCCAATCGTTTCTTCATTAATTCGTTGCACGTTCTCTTCGCAGTGGTGCTGTTTTGTTACGACGCGCAGCAAATAGATTAGTCAGAGAAAACCCAAACAAGCTTCGATATTGAATTTAGTTGTAAGCAGGACTAGTGGAGATGTCCAGGAACCCTTAGAAACACGTGCAGAATATAATTACAAATAGCTGGCATGTGATTCGAGCAATCATTCAAACTATGAAAACGTTTATAGAAAGAAAAAGTAAGGCGACGCTCAAATCATTCTCAACCTTAGAGCAGAACAACCGCGTCGTTCTGGTATAGTCTTGTGTATTCATTAAAAGAGGAAAAGTGCGACTGATGCCATAAACAGTGCGAAGAAAACGTCATCGTATACACTCTAACAATACAAAATAAACAAAGACTATCTGCTTTCCCACTAAAGGCCCCCTTTGATAGCGGTCCGGACAAGAAGCCAAAGTTTTAGAGCTTGCTGTTACTCGAATCAAAAGTTAGAAGCGATTTCGGGAAATTTTCGACGGGAAAATAGCAGGCGACGAAGCCCACCAATACAAGGGGATTTATGGGCGCCAACTACCGAAAACGGACCCAATTTACCCATTAGATGTTTTAGAAACTCGCTTACAACTTCAGAATAAGATAGCGGCAAGGTCTGAAACTTTTGACATCTTGTCCGGACATCTAGCGCCACAGTTGGGCGGAGATGAGCGTTTGGCGACGCGTGAAAACACGGTTATGTTTTCGCCCGAACACCCGGTATATTCGACAATAATATATCTGTTGTTGTTGTTGTCTTTTTTCTTTTCTTTTTTTTTCAACACATTGGGAGTTGACAACGGATTTCAACAGTGCTGGCGCGCGCCTAAGTGACATCCAGAGTGTTTTAATATCGTGACATCGTTCATTTTTGATCGACATCGGCGGCACCGAAAATACGCAATAGACCTTTTGCCGAATTACCCAAGCATCAAAGAGAATGCCGGGAACGTAGGTACACGCGCTGCGCGTGCTGACTAGGGGTGTCGCGAACTTTTGTCGAACCAGATTTTTTGGTCGAACTTTCGGGGTCGACTGGGTCGAACCGGTTCGACGAACCTTCGAACTTTTCACCAGATTCGACCGGTTCGACTTTGCGGACAGTGTGGCCAGACCTTGATACAAGCATGTCTAGGTTTGGAGAATTTCTTTTTTTATGCAAAGGGTTATTTTATTGTGTGAACAGCTGCAATTAAAATAAACTAATTCTATTCACTGAAGAAGTTCATAACTTAAATTTTAGTACTGTATTGACTGAAATAGCCGATCAGCGCTGCACCTAATTCATCTCTTAGCCATTACCATCCAATCCGAAGCCAACTGGTTAGCCTCTCGCGCATGCGCACACGAGTTGAACCTCAATACAAGGTTCGACGAACTTTCCACTAAACGGTCGAAAAAGTCGAACCTGGTCGAACTCGAACCGCGGCCGGTTCGCGACACCCCTAGTGCTGACGTCTGCAGCTGTTCGAAAGTAAAAATCTAAAACAAATGGCACTTCGCACGCGCGTTCCACAAGTGCTTTATTTTGGATATTTCGAATTTTATGTATCAGGAAGGTGGGCACGTGCAGCGCGGGTACCTGCAATTCCCAGCATTCTCTTTGATGCTGGGGTAATTTAGCGAAAGGTCTAGTGACCTGTGTCGTCTCGTCCCAGGCAGGATGAAATGAGGTGACCCGCCGAGTCGTCAACCTTGAGCGCATGCTATCCCCGCCGCCACACAGGGAACAATGGATTCGTAGTGACCGCGGCCAAAAGCAGACGAAAAAGAAACAAAAACCGTAAATGACACCTCTTCCAGGTCAGCTCGCTTCGCGGGAACCATTTTGGTTCGGTCCATTTCCTCCCCCCAACCCCGGTTGTAACAAAGGAAACGAAAAGAAAGAAATGAAGGAGAGAAAAATAGGATGACCCAATCTAGAGAGCAGCACGAAATAAATCCATTCCGCGGTACAACGAACCCAGGGCGCTACGTTGCAACGCAAATCGTCGTCTGCTATTTAACGGCTGCTGCTGAATAAAACAGCAGACGACAACGCCTCGATACGGGTGTTGCCAGACTTCAGACGACGAAAAACAGTAAAATCTTGTTTTGTAGCTTTTGTACGCAGTACACACACGCAACAAAAATACGCGAAGAGTTTAAGAGTAAACAAAAATATTCTAGACCGATTCGACGCTGCTTTAGGAATGAAAGAATAAACGGAAAATCAAGCCATTGCGAATTCGTGGAAGATGTAGTGTAGTCTTTCACTAGCTCACCCCCATATCTAACAGCTTGAAAAACGTTTTTAATCATGAATACTACCGGCTTTTCAACATTTCTGAGTGCTTAGCTTAGCACAACAATGTATCGAAATGCGATCCACAATAAAAACATCGTTGTTGTTTTCCAAGAAATGTTGTGGGCGACACTGCGTGAATAAAAGAAAGATCGTTTTAACGCAACATTACAGCGCGTCAACATTCGGGTCGGCGACAGCACCCAACTGCTCGCCTCGGATCCTCATCAACAAACGAAGAAAAGATCCATCAGCACACAAGATGATAGGCGGTCCTTATCCGAGATGGTTGTAGTACAGGCACAAAAAGAACGATAACACGAAGAACGGCTTTCTGCCGACAGCGTGATGGATCGCTGTTATTCGTGACCCCGTTAATTTTATTTTCAAAATCTGTGTGGGAAGCTCTCCGACGTATCCCACCCACACCTCCACGAGGAGATGTCATCCTCACCGCACGATCGGCGTATGGTTTACTAACTGAGTCGGCAGCGCAAGACATTAAAAACACAGACTGCTGCTATTGTTGTAGCGTAGTGCAGCGAAATCATACCCAGAAGGCCACGAAACAGAATGATATCACGAAACGCATAACTAAAGAAAAAAAAAACGGCTTGTAGGGGGGTTCTCGCCTCGGCGTATGTCAACTTCACTCTCTAAAGATGGTATGGTGTCAGTCGTGACAGTGGAGCCTGTGTGATGCGGCGTGCGTGACGGTGTGTTTGAGTCGAGATCGGCGCAGGGGGCTTACCTGGAAGACGGCTTCTTTTTTTCCAGGGTGGAGAAGCGACTTCCCGAATCCGAATTGGACGAGATGCTGTGTCCGCGTGAGTGCATTCAAAAACCGTGGATGGGAAGTTTTGCTTCACTCCCGTCGGAAAAGATCGGGGGAGAGCCCGACACGAAAAATGGTCGCCCACACCGCAATCCCACAATGCAACGCGCCGTTGTGTTCGAATTGGTGGCGCCATCTCAATTCGGAAATATCTACTTTTACAGTGGTTTCGGTTTCGTTTCAAAATTATTAATTTATTAGTGCTTTGTGATGCAAATTTTTGTAATTTATTAAATATATTTACTTAATTTTTGCCTTTAAGTTGTGTTATGGCATAATTAACGTGTGTGTTGACCAAATTAGCCAAACCGAAACCTAAACTTTGAAATATTATGAGGATACAAAACTGTATTTGACTTATTTATGGCAAAATTAAAAAAAAACCAACACTATTTGAATTTAATAATTCAACATTGCAGGCGATAATAAGGAATAGTTTGCGACCGCTCACTTTACGACTTCACCGTTTTCGTCGCCAGGGCGACAATCGGTGACGCGACAAAGCTCGACAAAGATGGCGCCGTCCAAGTCGGGTGAACTGCTAGCGCGCGTGAATTTTCCGCTGTATTCGCTGAACGTACTCACCGAAAGGCACATCTTGGTCACCGGAGGCGGCGGCAAATCTAGGACCGGCATCCCCAACAAAATCGTAAGTTACAAAATGACCGCAACCCGCTCTTTTCATTCAAGATGAGCAACTCGAAGGTCCCTAGAGTTTCCAGAACATACGTGTCAAAAGTTACAGCTGATTACGTAGATGTGTTGTGTTTCGCCTCTTCCTGTTTTTTTTGCTTTCTTGTCCCCTGTTCAGTTACCGGGGTTGCTGCACGACTCTGTGATTTGTAGCTGGGCCTTTAAACCGACGGCGTATTTTTAAAGCTGCCGTAGCGGATGTCGTTAAAAAAAAGGACGTTTTCCTGTTCCAGCCGTTTGCACCGGCACAAACAAAAGACCTGTCGTAAATACGATGAGGCTGGGGAGCTTGGCATTGGAAAAGTGATATCCGCTTAGAACTTTTTTTTTTTTTTTATGTCAGTTCGTATTTGTCCTGTATTTTCTCTTCGCCGTTATCTTTAAGCGGCTATCAGAGCTCTTGTAGTTGGGTTTACAAGGCAGCCCTTGTTTTCCCTGTAAGTCTTTTATGTTTTTATTGTTGTAGTGATGAAGTTGCTTGTCAAGATGGCTGCATTTCTGTAGAAAGTGACCTCCTGTTTTCTTCGAATCATGTTTGTCTTTCTTTTTCGAATGTGAGGAGTGTTCATTTGATACATCAACAGCGCCAACTGAAAGGAGATTCTCCCATGATATTTGTGTTCTTATATTTTTTTTAATAATGTTATGTTGGGGAAATAAATTAACACAAATTCGTCAAGCAGCACCATGTCAGAAATAGACATTGAAAAGCAGACGCACTATATATTAAAGTGCGAGCTGGTTTATGTTACACATTTTTGAAAAACCGGAGTTTGAGACATCTTGTGTGTTGTCCCTTTTGTCGTCGTCCGTCGTTTCTGGTTTTTAAAAAAAGGATGTGTAACACTGTACATAGAGCAGACACACTTTACATAGAAACCAGTAAGTAGAATTAATCGTCACTACCCACCAATGGTGCCGCTCACAAGCTGTGTGTAGGAAGTTTTCATGCGACAAGAATCCACCATTTTGTTGTTATATGTCCCTCGGTGCTTTACGTATTTGATAGTGCCAGATAAATCCTTCAAATGCTTGCCTTTGGCACGCGCCAAATTACAAAATGGTGCACACAATCGCGTCAATGAAAACACCATATACATGGCTTGCATTGAAGTCACGTCAGGCGCCATCGCTCTGTACCATTCTCTTGTGCCCTTACCTTCTGCAGCAGGCATTTGGCACCATCGAATTTGTTCATCTCGGCAAGGCTTGCTGAGGAGAACAAATCTGATGGTGCCGAATATATGCTGCAGAACGTACGGGCACAGAAGCATGGTACGGAGCAATGGCGGCTGGTATGGCGCCATATGTTATCACATGCAAGGCATGTATAGGCCGTTTTACTAAAAGAGGGCAAGAGAGAAAAGGGGAAAGGGCTGCCAGTGCTTTCCTGAGTGGTTAGGAATGAGCAAAAGGACCCGGATAGATGCCTGTGTTCCTTCAAGTTTGGTTGTTTTCTTCGCAGTTTCCTCTATTTTATTTTACTTGAAGATGTAATTAGAGCTAGCGGAATTAATTTCGACAATCCCCTGGTCGTCGGGATATCATTGTTTGGTAATGATCTGCATGAATAACAAGCGAAAGTGCAGAATGTTATTGGAGGACATCTGTATTGTGCACGGGATCCGACAAGGCAACGGCAGCTGCGATGTCTTCAAACTCCATTGCTTTCCAAATGACCAATACTTCTGGCGGCAGTGGGTTGCGTCCGTAAACAGAAAATGCTTTTCCCCGACGCTATCCTCTCGAGTGTGCTCAGAACATTGAACTTACAGCCGTAACCTCGATGAACATGGGCCACGCTCGCAAGGTGGGCGCGAGTCTTCTCGTGAAAATCGCTGTTTCAGCTTGTAAATTTTTGTAAATTAATTTATTTTGCAGCAGTAACATTGACTCGATTTTATCATCTATTACGCTTAGTTGAAGGCTCATTTCCGCCGCCGTGTGTGGCTCGAAATTGTCAAAAAGTCAGTTCTATCAGTTTTTTTTTAATTGCAATTTCCTGTGCGATAGCAGGGAGCTGTGAACTTGTGTTAACTGTCACAACGCGACTGGGCTCTTCTTTTTTTTTTTTTTTAATTAATACACAAAGCTGGAAAGAAAACTTGTATTGGTATTGCTGAAACATGCTCATGCATCGATTTCAAATTTTTTAATTATTGAATAACTCGCGCCAGCAATGGGGTCATCTCGACTTTGCCGTTTTTAGTTCTAAACAAAGGAGACGCTCGTCAACATGAGATCCTCGGTTGAAACCTTTTTAAACACCTGCCAGCCGGAGAGAGCTGCTTTCGATCGTTCCCTGCACTGCTCTTATTCGGTGCGTCCTTGTTCACATTAAATACAAGAAAGAATAAAACGCCAAGGGCGGACAAAAGAACGCACTTGTCCGTCCTTTACGTTTTATTCTTTCTTGCATGTAGCTATCATCAACGCGCTCAACTAAAAGTAAATTGTTCACATTATATTTCATTGGTGTGGACGACACAAAACGCCAAAAATATTCTCGGTGTACTGCATCTAAAACGACAAAAAAACTGAAGAAAAATTCAATCGCTGTTAACTGAAACAATATTTTTAGTCCTTTCCTCAGATTTCTATCAGTGGCGCGTTCAGTGCCGCATTCAGTGCCGGTCTTGCCATCGTTGCGCTGGCAGATGCTGTAATGCGGGGTAAAGAAAGTTCCCAATAAGTTGATAAACACCATCCGCGGCCCACAAGAAGCCTCCTAAGTCGGATACCCAGCACTTTGGAGCACTCAACTAGCACACCCCATGCGGGAACAGTGCCCCAAAGTGTACTTTTGCCAATGTTTCTAAGCACTCAGCGTGGCTGCAGAACCTGGCGCTCGATGGGGGCACAGTATTTAAAATGGCACTGACCACAATAAAACGGTCTATAGAGAAACTCAACGCTCCTACGTCGCGCCGCGGTGGTGCGCGTTGGGCGCACTTCCGGTCTGGGGTGGTGGGCAGAAGTCGCAGTGCGAGACATGCATTCCTGTGTTCTTTTGGGAGAAACCAGACAAAAAACCTGCCTTCTCAAAATGCTGCGATGGGGCTGTACCAAGAGAGTCTGGAAAGGTTTGAAGATCACTTTTCATGTGTTTCTGCCCCCTCCGTTCGTTTGAGAACGTGGATAGAAGCCGTGACAAGGGCAAACCAGACGCTGTCAAACTACGATTGCTTGTGCGGGCAACACTTTGTGCTCACCAGGTGTAGTTGTTGTGTTCTAACATGAACGAGAGAAAACCGCCAAGTTGTCCGAACCACCCGGGTTCAGTGCGTCTTCAAATTCACACGGCCACCTGATCGTTCGAACTTTCGTCTGCTCTTTCGAACTTGTCTGCTTTGTCTCGTCTGTTCGTTCAAACGAAAGCGCCCCATAGACCAAACTTTGACCCGGTGACTGCAATAAGAAGTAATTGCAGGCCTCAAAAGACTTCAGTTGGCTCGGTGTAAATAGTAGATACAAGATGTTGATCATTGGTACCAGTGGCCATCACCTACTTGTTACGCTTGGTCTGTTCCCGCTTCCGATTTTCAGTATCGACATTGATCATCGCCGCTACCTTCTACACTTTTGCAGCAAGAGCGACGTTGCGACCGAAAATTGCTGGAAGAATCTCATCAGGGTTTTGGCGTCCATTCTGCGGCGTTCATGCGAATGAATCGCCGCACATCAAATTATTTACGCAAAGTTTAGCGGCGTAATGAACCTTGCTCAGGCAATTAAAGTGGTAAGACATTGCTATGACTTAGAATCAACAATTCCAACGCGAAAAAGAGTATGCAGACTCACACAGACACCGACAATGCAACATTCCATTGGTTTGTTGAAGCGGGACGTGGTGCTTCTTGCTCGCAGTCCATTGCGCATCCGTTCGAACTGTCGTCTGCTTTTTGTCGCCAGCTCGTTCAAACGACAGCGGCCCGTAAACCAAACGTTGACCCGGTAATTGCAATAAGAAGTAAGTGCAGGCCTCAAAACACCTTTGAAGGTTGGTTGAGGTAAGTATTCTAAGTGTAAACAGGGGATACAAAAAGATGTTAATCATTGTTACCAATGACCATCACCGACTTGTAATGCCCGATTTTACTTGCGGTTTTCAGTATTGACGTCCACCATCTCAGCTACGGTCCACGCTTTTGTAGCCCGAGCGATATCGCGTCTGAAAATAGCGAAATGATTCTCATAGTGGGAGTCAGGCTTTAGGGCCCATTCTGCGGCGTCCACGTGAAATGAATCGCCGCACGTCACATTATTCACGCAAAGTTTTGCGGTGTAACGAGTCTCGTTAATTTTGCTGAAGCCGCTCAAGTAGTCAGACATTGTTAAGAGGACGTAGGATCAACAATTCCAACGCAAGCACAGGGACTCACACCGACGCCCGCAACAACGCAATTCAATGGTTTGTTTATGGGCGACGGCGAGCTTCTTGCCCACCGTCCACTGCGCATGCGTGGCGCCGGTGACGTCCGCTAGGGGCGCTCCGGTTTGTTTGTAAACATGAGTTGGTGTATGCGGAGGGCAAGTTCGTCTGCTTCTTGCGCTGGGGGGTAGCGGTCACGTCAAAACGCCGAACCCTGATTGGCTGATCGCGACCCCCTATCTGAGCGTCGTCTGCTCCTTTGCAACGTCGTTTGCATCTGTCTTACCTTTCCTGAGACTTTCGGAAGTGCAGGTCTTTACGAGCGAGCTCGACTTCGCCTTTCAGAGAGGGCAGACGAAATAACTCGAGCGGTACATTGTTTTGATCTAACGACTAGCAGACACGCATCAAGGAGAGAAGTCAAAGGACTCACTGAGGAGGTGTTCCGAGGTGCCGAGGTTTGTTTGCTAAGAACCGAGAGTGAGGGTAGTTAGCCTCCGCAAGTTCCCTCCCAAATACTTTTTCCCTCCTTTCGTGTGCGGCGAGACTCTTCACTCTTTAACGGCGTAGGCGGGTTGGCACGGTTGGCGCAGTTAATGTCGTCTGCTTTACGTCTGCTAGTCAAAGCGATGGCTGCTTTACCTTTCCTGCGTCTGTCGGAGATTCACCTCTTTTTCACCGTCGAGAACGTGACCTTCGAAAAAGATTTGTATTTGTCTTTTGTCCCCCTTGTTCCCTTTCTCCAGGGATTATTTTCGTCATTCTTGTCCAGCTCGCTTGCACCTTTGCATTTAATTGCATTATAACAAGAATTGCTTCTTGGTGTCAGCAAGTCTACGACATAACTTCCGCGATACGTTCGACGCCGCTCGGGTAGCTCGATCGATCTTGCTCGGATTCTTTTCCAGAGATTAGCAAAGGTTTTCAAACTTCTGGCACTTGGGTTTCCGCCACACATACATACCCCAAAACGCTAACTGACAACAGCCTTTTAGTCGAGCGAGAAAGTTGTGACAACAAGCAGCGATCGAGCACTTTTGGGCTATGATGTGCTCACGGTACCGATCGCACAGCCGCATTTGTTTATTTGCAGTCACTACATCGGCAGACTTTTGTCTTTAGCTGACTATCTTTGAACAACTCATTAAACGCCAGGTACCATTCACGAAACTCGTGCAACTAAACGTTTTAACATAGCGATGAACATGGTGTTTACTCCTTACCTGAGCGAGCGACCTGCCGCGGCGTGCTGCTCTTGGGGCACTGCAGCCACTGCTGTGGGAGGGTCCATCTTGGACAGTCCATTTAGAGCCGCGTAAAGTGCGGTAGCCACCACATGTGGCTGCACTTTGTGGCGCCACGAGGGCAGTCACAGTGACTCTTTAAAATGCATCTAAAATGTCACCTTTATTAGAGAGTGTCTTCTTTATCGCGTAGCTACAATTCTTAAACGACGCCTGGACATTCGCAACTAGAGTGAAATTCTTCACCTCAAAAGAAAGGACGTATCCTTCAAGGTATTTCCTTTCGCCTTTTTCGAAGGCCGCGTTCTTGGCGGTGAAAAAGCGGGGATCTCCGACAGACGCAGGAAAGGTAAAGCAGCCATCGCTTTGACTAGCAGACGTAAAGCAGACGACGTCAACTGCGCCAACCCGCTGACGCCGTTAAAGAGTGAGGAGTCTCGCCGCACACGAAAGGAGGGAAAAAGTATTTGGGAGGGAACTTGCGGAGGCTAACTACCCTCACTCTCGGTTCTTAGCAAACAAACCTCGGCACCTCAGAACACCTCCTCAGTGAGTCCTTTGACTTCTCTCCTTGATGCGCATCTGCTAGTAGTTAGACAAAAACAATGTACCGCTCGAGTTATTTCTTTTGCCCTCTCTGAAAGGTGAAGTCGAGCTCGCTTGTAAAGACCTGCTTTTCTGAAAGTCTCAGGAAAGGTAAGGCAGACGGAGACGACGTTGCAAAGGAGCAGTCGACGCTCAGATAGGGGATCGCGATCAGCCAATCAGAGCTCGGCGTTCAGACGTCACCGCTACCCCCTGCGCTATAAGCAGACGAACTTGGTTTTTGCATAGTTGTTGCACTTTAATTAATTTGCCAACTAGGTTTTTTATTTTACCCATCATAGCTTCTTTGCTTTTTTTTAATTCACTTTTTTGTTATTGTAGACAAACTTCTGTACTTCCACTGGACAGATGTTTGCTGCTTGCTCGCTCTGTTGTCTCCTCAAACACCTGCTGCATCCCATTTTTTGTGTCATCCGTTATTCATGCTTCTTTGTCTGCTCTGTCATCACATAGTTTGTCTTGTCCACTGCCTGTCCAAAATTTAACATGTCTGCTCTATAATCTGTTCTTTCGTCCCCTCAGTTGTTCCCTGCGTTTTTTTCATTTCTGGTTCGGTCACCTGTTCCCTTTGTTGCCCGCATAATCTGCTTCACTGTCTGCTCTGTTCCTGCCCTCTCTTCTACTGCTTCACGTCGTCCATTCTTCGCTCCACCACCTTCTTCATTTTCTTTATCATCTGATCTCATCTCATTTATGTCTACCCCATCATCAGCTCTGTTGAATGCCCTAAATCTTGGACTCTGGTTCTATGCCCTCTTCGTTGTTGCTTAGTCTGCTTTATTTTCTGTATCCTTTGTTTGCTCTATAATCCACTCCATTCTCTGTTCTATCGCCTGCACCCATGTTTGCTCCATAATTTGTTCTGTCGTCCGCTTTCTTTTTCCCATGCAATTGTATGCTTCACATTTTGTGCTTTTTGGTCCCTTGTCCTCTTCATTGTCTGCTTCATCACGTGCTTTAGTGTCTGGATTCCTTTTCAGTCTTTTGTCCACTTCATAGTTCACATCATTCTCTTTTTACTTTTCTCCTTTGACTATAGACACCGATAAATGATTCCTAATCATCTGTTCTGTCGTCTGCTTTCTTTTTCCCATGCAGTTGTATGCTTCACACCCCGCACTCTTTGGTCCCCTGTCCTCTTTATTGTCTGCTTTATCATACGCTCTGTTGTCTGAATTTCTGTTTGGTCCTTTGTCTGTGCCATAAACTACTTCATTTTCGTCATTGCCAACTTCATTACCTGCCTCCTTGTCTGCTCCATCGTTTCTTCCATCATCTGGTGAGGCATTAATCCTTATCTCCTCCCTCTACTGCAGGAGATCTACGAGCTGGTCCCAACCGACAAGACATGCAAGGCAGAGCCAGTGACACGCCACCTGACTGGCGACTGCGCCATCATGAACTCCACAGTTTTCTTTCACAAGACCAAGCGGGACTTTGCTCTGGCCGCCGGGCACGACGAGCACTGTCAACTGTACCGCATGCGCTACTGCCTCCTCGAAGACAGCCACGACGATGACAAGGACACGCCAGACGCCCGCAGCGACAGAGGTCTGTGCTCTCTCACGTTGACTCTTACTATCCATAATGAATGAATGGATTGATGAATACGACTGAAACCACCAAATCTGGAGCTGCTTTGCTCCAGATTCGGCAGCCTGGCGGAAGCGCTAAAGGAGGTGGGAACCGTGACTTTGGCGAAATATGCAGAAAATATTTGTGCATTCTAGCGACCAGAACGTGTTACAAAGAGTTGGTCAGCAATGCGGTTAAAGTTACAAATGAGCTGGTGGCAAAAATTCCCACCTTTGGTCTTGAGAGTTCGCAAGAATGTCGATGGGGACTTGCGGATAAATTTCTGTCATTGCTTGGTGTGCGAGAATGCTGCTTTATTTGTGCACACGACCAGAGTGCCGAAAATCAGTGTAGTGGCGGTGCTTCCAGTGTTCAAGAACAGTGCAATGTTGTGGTGACAGGCCCTGAGTACAAGGCTTAGCTCTATAAATATGTCGCACACCTATAGAGACAGATCTTCTCGGCTTTAGTTTTTTCTCAAATCTGAAGGTAAAAGAAGCATTCAAACCCATTTTAATTCCTATTTTTAAGTGTCAGGTCGTGTAGCCACCCGAAGAGCTGCCTTCCCAAAATTAATTTGCAAAAACAGTTATGTTAAAATGTGATTTTCTTTTTTTATCCCACAGCCATTCTCTTTTGATAATCGCCTCTTTCCAATAATGGTCAATAGGCTCTGTGAATTAATTAGCTCATACATTATTTGACTGACCTTGCCTAAATCTGAAGAAGCGGCATCACAACGTTACGCACAAGCTATGTAGCTTATGTAAGGATTTTTGTCTGTGTGTACATATCTCATCTGTCACAAAGTGATATTGATTGCTTAGTCATTTAATTGGTCAATCAATTGTTAAATATTGCTGAACCCTTTGAATTAGGGTGATTGCTTGCTCCATTTAGCCAATATAATGGCAACTGTAAAAGAGAGGGAACAGTATTGGTGGTGGGAACATGAACTAGAGAAATGGTGATTTTGTGCCTTTGAAATATCGAGGAAAAATATATTTCTATGTATTGATTGATCTATTCATCAATCATCAGATGATTGATGATTGATTAATCAATCCTACTTAAAGGGGTACGGTAACTAAAATTGAAATATTCAAATTTTGTTCGAAAATGAGTCAAGTATGACAGATAATAACCGTAAATGATAATCTCACGTTTGTATTTTGAACGACCGGCTATATTTTTCGTTCCAAACGGTGCACTCGAGCAAGCGCTCCAAGAGAAGCAAACGGAGAGCGCGATGCGTCATGGGATATCCGGCGCAAACAAAAACAAAAAGAAAAGATTCTCCGCAATCGTGAAGTACAAGGCAGGCGTGATTATGAGCTTTGCGGCTTGGTGGCATTGTCAGCGTTGTAGTGGTGTCAATAACGTCAGCGCGTTACAACCGAGTCGTTCGAAGTACCCGTGGGGTGACGAACGTGTGGCTGGCCCAAGGAGCTTGTAGCTTCCACAACACTGTCAGCTTAGGGCTGAACGAGGTGGGGAAAGCAACTTTTGTTCGAGTTTTGAGCGACGGGCTAATCTTCTAGGGGGAGAATGGCTGTTTCCGGTTGCACGAACAAGGGTCCGAGAAAGAGGGGAGTCCTTCCTTTCCGTCTTCTTGGGTTTGGTAGAATGCGCGATTTGTGAGTTGAGCTAGGAGGAAAGCTAAGAAGGAAAATGTTGAAATTCCAAAGGGCGGTGCTGCTCCGAAGGAATCTGCTACGTCACGACTACGTAACAAGTTCCCCAAAGTTGCTAGGTTACCATGCATCCACCAGGTGCACATTGAAAGATCATTTATTTAGCTTTAAAATTAGTTTTCTTGTGTTTTTCAACGGAAGACGTGTTTTTGAGTTTAGGGTGCAACATGCAACACATTCAAGCTAGAAAATGAGTGCTGGAATTTCCTTTTCCCTACCCTTTTAAAGGGATACTGAATTGAAACTTTAAAATACAGAGAACATCAAGAAATAAGTCAAATGGGATCAGCTAAATCTGCGATTGATAACCGCATGGTTGTATTTTAAGCGGATGGCTATATTTTTTGTTCTAAACAACGGGATTTCGGCGAGCGCTTCAAAATCAGTCATTGAAAAACGCGATCCGCCTCAGACGATTCGGCGCGGCCTTGACACCACCATGCCCTGAAGGGCCAAGCGTATCATAGTTACAAGCTTTGCCACTTGGAGGTATCAGCGCGTTACAATCTCGCTTAGTCAAAGCACCCAAGGGCTGCAGCATATCGCGGAGCCGGCGGTGCTGCCTTGAGTGTGCGATGTCCAGCCAACGCAACGAGAGTGGTGGGTATTACAACGACAAAGACGCTGCTATATCACCAGTGGCGATGATGGCCGACAAGCGATTCGGCCTACTCGTATCTGTATGATTTGTCTGCCTTGTCTTTGTCGTCTGCAACAGGTAACAGAGCTTGTTCGCGAAACAATATTACGACAAAAGCTAGAAAGAAATCCGCATTAATAAAGCGAAATTATAGTCTAAGCCCGTTATAACAGACCTTGATTTTGAAAAGGAGTATGTTGTATGCAGATATGAAGTTGAGTCAATGGCGCATAGAGAAAAACCAACCAAACTTTACAAATCGGTATGTTATATCCAAATGCCTGTTGTAACCAGGTCTGTTAAAGTGAGCTTAGACTGTATTGCAAGTTTTTCGTAAACTACGGTGAAATCCTACGACCACGCCTATGACATACAGCTCCAGAAGTTTACGAACTTCATATGATCAAATCTTCATCGCCGACAACATCGCTTGCTTACGTTGTTTCAATGACCATTGTGCATTTCTATGTGCTCTCTGTGCGCATTCCGACATCAACCTGCACGAGAAAGAAAAAGTGTTTGGAACGCCGAAGCAGAGACAAACGCTAGAGCCACAGATACCTGAAAAAGCTACAACGACAATGATCCCACCGACCAAGCAACCGCCAAGGACTAGCGTATATTTAGGACCGCTAGGCTTAGCAGGGCACTCTGACACAATGTTACTCCGACGACCTGGGACAAGACCATCTGCACACGACAAGCTGGCTTGCTGAATGGAATATGGCCACATGACTTTTGTGGACCCTTCTCGTATGAATAGTTTTAACACTGACCTCTATACCATGGTGCTGCACTCTGGTGCAAAACCGCCCTCCTTAGCAGTACAGGTTCGGCTGCAATGACGACGAGCACGTTAGAATTCTATTGCGGCCACGTTCCAATATTATTGTGGCTTTTTGTCTGTTGGAAAACATTGATTATTTTTTAGGGAGGCAATCCTCCACAAAGAAGGGTTGCCTGTGTGCCAGGTCTCCGGGGCGGAAGAGATAATCCTGGCGTAAGAACATTTGTCGACAGCGAAGTGCGTCTCACAGGTAAAAGCAGTGTCGTTTATAACGTCCGCCTCAAGATAAATGCAGTTTTTCTTATGGTTTCGCTTCCTCTTGTAACTCAGAGCTATTCAGACGAAGATGAGGATGCTATATTTTTCAAATTGTATTTTCCCTCACAGCTGCACTGTCGCACACACTGCTTGAACTGGGGCAAGTTCTCTTAGTAAGTCGGAGTTACCGACTGATGGGAGCATCCCGCGACTGTTTTAGTTCATGCTAATGATGTCAATGATGAAGTGGGCACTGCCAGACCACAACACTAGGTCACTCTGTATAAGAAACCCAAAGCGGGACGCGAATACGGCCACAGCTCATCTGTTCCATTACCAGGCAGTGTGAGCGGGGTAAACAACAAAATTAAAAACTTCTACTACACGCCGCAACACCTTGTTGTGTTTGCGCACAAACCGCTGCCATCAAAGCGGTAAAATCCTAATTCACGCACGTGCGTCAGTAACCCACTCATACTTTTATGAGTAAAAAGAGTGATCGCTAATCGACTCACATTTTTACCTTTCTTATGTGATGCCGGAATGATCATTTTTAATGCAGTTGCGGGTAACACCAAACAAACTTTTTGCATGATTTTTTTGTTTTTTTTTTGCTGTTCAGGTGCAATTATATCCATAATACTCTGCACCAAAAAAAGAATTGGCAATATTCTTTTCTTCTCTCTGCGAAAAATGTAATTAAGAATTTCAGTCATACATTTTCAGTTATTTACCTTTGTAAGGTGTCCTGTCTTGGCCCCCTTTATGTTGCTTTCAATTAACACATCTAACATTGCCAACACACTGAAATTCATCAACCCAGCAATGTTGCAAAGTCTATTTTCTAGAGTTTCTTGGATAGTAATTATACCTGTTGTGGGCTAACTACATCATGTTAATAATGTATAGAAAAACTGAAGTACAGCCATCAACTTCTTTTTGAATTATGCGTTCAGGTTAGTACACAATAGAGGCTCAATTATCTGCCTTATTTTACCTTGTCTTTTAATTGCCGTATACTCGCTTTCTCTTGTAAGCATCGGGGATAAAGATTGGCGGGTAAGCAAAGTGAGCTTGGTTTTCAAATTTTAAGTTATTAAAAAAATGGTTACTGCATATTCGAGTTTCTTTTGTCGACAGCCATGAGGAACCATCGTAGCTACTAGATTAGGGACTTATCGTATAATGTTAGCTGCGGATTTCGGGCCCTGCAGGCACGGGCTCAGTCTGCAGAAAACTTTCCCATGCTCTCGCATGTGATCTACGAAAAGTCCCTATTAATGTGACAAGTAAGCGTAGCTGCACCCCTGAATCATGCCACAAGGTAAAGAATCAACAATTAACCTTGTCCTCCGCACAGCTGGCGATTTATGCTTCTGGCAATCTTCCTTGAATCGCCTCCCAGGAACCAAATAAAACTTTTCAGGGGACACATATTCACCTTTCTGTTTAATGTGATGCTGTGGCACTTGAGTAAACGGCCATATCTGGTGCCCTGCCCTTTTGCGTTCGGTACATTACTTTACGAAGCGTGAGGCCAGCACGACAAGCGTACCAGCCTCCCGCGTCGTCTGCTCCTCGTACTGCTAACAAGTATGGCCGCGCCTCGCCAGGGGAGGAGGGCTTCTTTATGTGCACGGCGAAACTCAAGTCTTTCCCCTTGTCGTCCCTAACTTGTTTTCAAATGAAGCAAGGGAGAACACTCTCGTCGAAAAGGGACACTCTTCTCGACCCTATCTCCTTTTTTGTGTTATAGAGCTCATATAAATGCCATATGGATTGCCTTCGGAACATGGGGACATACACTTTTTTTAGTGTGTCCATTTTATTCCGACATGACCGTACGCCAACACATGGCGAGTTAAAGCAGTTGGGAACTAATCAACGTCGGTCCAATCTTTCTCTGCCGAGCTTCACGTCAGTGTCGAGTTGCAATTGTCTAGTGGCCCAGCGGTTCATGAAATCGGTTGTACAAAATCGTTCCCCAATCCGTTACCAAGAATGCGGTACTAGTGCGGTTCCACTACCAGTGCGAGCAGGTATGTACGTGGATCTTGCTGACACTCTTTCACTTCAAACGTATATCCTGGGAAGTCGGCTCTCTCCCGCATCCCCAAAGCCACAACAAACGTGGCAGTCATTTGTTTACATGCGCGCCGCTTTGCAGAGCCGTGCGGGCTGCCTCCTTTTAGCAATGATGGTAGTTGCATTGACCTCGGAGCGATTGAGTTTGTTGCAGTCAACCAAGGCGGCTATCCCGTCGTCAGGAGAGGTGGGCATTCTCGTCCGTTTAGATAGAATTTCGTGGCGTCGCTATTACATTTCACATACACAATCCCCAAACCACCCGAAGCAAGCGTTCCCTGAAAGACCACTTGATACGTGCTTCACCAAAGCACGTCGATACTACGTTCAGACCTAAATAATCTTTATGAGTAAGCATACTTCAAGTTGTGGCGCTGCTCCCACTAACATGTTGTCGTCACGACATTTCATCAAAGCTTCACAGACATCTACGAGGTGGTTTTGGTTATCATTTTATTCAGTTTAAAATATGTTTTCTTGCGTCATCCTACGAAATATTGGTGTTGGTGAAGTTCTACTTTAACCCGCTTTATGTTTAAGCAAAGAGACAAGCTCTAGAATTTGGTTTTTGTGCCCCTTTAATCATGCCACATCACTGCAGAAAGAAGAGGCTCCTCTTCAGCAGTCCGCCGGAGACGCAAGTCTGACTCCCTGTCATCGTCGACTGGCGGAGCAGAGCGCGGCGAAGGGGACAAGCCACAGAAGGTGGAAAATGGCGGCCCCACCGGCCTAGCCGCAGAGCCGGAGACGACCAAGCCTGACTCCAATGCCAACAGTGTACGGATCGGCTTCTCTCTCCAGCCGGAAACGAGCTTCCAGACAGACTTCAGTCCGAAGGAAGAGCCCTTCCAGAAGGTGGTGCGCTTCGCACCCGAAGCGGAGCTGCTCTTCACTGGAGGAGCAGACGGATGTCTACGAGCCTGGAAGGTGAATTGCAGACGAGACATCTGGAGCGTCGTTTGCTCTAAAGATGTTGCCGGTTTGAATGTAGCTGTAGCCAAATGGCATTGCAGGCAGACAAATGTTTACAGGCCTGAATGTGGAAGGTAGATAGTGGATGAGACCTCTGGGACATCATCTGCTCGAAAGGTCTTGGCAGTCTGGGTGTAGCCATAGCCGTAACTGAGTAGCACTGTAGGAAGACGTTGTGCCCTGCCTGAATTGGGAAGTAGCGAAAAGAGAAGGTCTTAGGGGATATGAAAGGATATATGGGTAGCTGAAGTTGTCTATATTCAATTTTCATCTATTGATTAGTAATTCACTTGTTAAGAAATGAAGGTTTCCTTTATTTTCATTTTTGCTTTGTGCTAAAGCAAGAAGTACAGTGAATTCCGTTTAGAACGATCTCACATGCAGCGAATTATTGTCAATATCGAACTCACAGAAAATTTAAATAAAAATGCATAAACATACTTTTTATAACGAACAACATATTAGTTATATGAAACGTTTCCCCCAGCGAAGGCTTCCAAAAATGCACAAACAATCGTCTTCTAGCCTCTCCCTTCCCCCAAAAAAGAAGTAGGAAAGAAAGAAAATTCCAAAAGCTCTAGTTGCAAACGAAAGTGAGCGAAGAGAAGCGACGCAGAAAAGGAGATCAGCTAAAAAAAACAAAAAAAACTGCATGTATGCAAAAAAAAAAAAAAGCTTTCTAGCGCATTGTTACAAGGCAAAAGTGAAGAGACGAGAAAGAAAGAGAAGGCTCTCGCCTTACAATGAACGCATCGTGGAAGTTCTTTGTAAATTGTTTTTGCTATATTGACTGATCGTAGCGTTTCTTGCTGTTCGTTATAAACGGGTTTGACTGTAGTAGCTGTTTGCTGATGTAAATAGTATGTTCCTAAAGCTTATTCTTTTTTCTTTTTTAGAAATTATTGCATGCTTTGGGCCACAAGTAGAATTAATTTGTTGTGGCCATACACTGACAGTGTCTAGTGCTTTGCTGCCATATTTTTCCACTATGCATGTAATTGTCATTTGAAGCATTCCCTTAAGAAAAGTGTTCTTCTCGATATCTGAAATATGATCAAACTGAATCGAGCGGAGTCCCTTGTTTTCTTGTTGCACAGTATCCACAATTTAACATGGAGTATGAAGTCAAGGCTCACACTGATGAATTGGATGACCTCTGCATCAGCCCTACAGAAAGCATGGTCAGTATTCTGTCAGCCTCATTGCCTTCATGGCACTGAGGTTCTATTTCAGCCTTTGTAGTGTAATGTACACGGTTCAAACCCTAGGTGGCTCATTCGTCATGGATTTTATGCGGTGTCGCCCACATCCTGCGTTGGTCTACACCAGGGGTTCTCAAACTTTTTTGCCCCAGGGAACCCCAGCAAGCCTCAAAAAGTCCCAAGAAACCTCCCCCCCCCTTGTTGTCAGCCTATAATACTAAGCATGGAGACGTTTAGATAATGAACAAGAGTTTATTGCACTGCCAAAATAAGACAAAATGGAGGACTTCACACAGAATAAGAATGCAGAGACCTGGGGCACAGTGTAAAATATATATACATATTAGTGCAAAGGGTGAGGTTGGTTTGCTCGCAACACCAACTCAATTCATGGCTCAGTCCGTGGAAAGTTAAACTAGAGGAGGGGGTGCAGTGCAATTTGAGTGCTCGCGGAACCCATGAGACTCGCAGAACCCCTGTGTTTTGCAAAACCCAGTTTGAGAACCCTTGGCAATAAAGCCCCTCTATTTCTTTTTCCTTGTACCTTTTTTGTCAGAGTCACCTTCGTTATAATACTTCATTCCACAAGTCACATTTACTGGCAAAGTGGAGAGCTACTATCCAAGACTACGAACCCTGTGGACTCATATTTTTTTTACAGAATGACATAAATAGTTCCTATTCCTAGCCTATATTTAGGGCTGCACCAGAAGTTGTGATGCTGCAACAGTTTGAGATGAGTGAGGCTTCTCATGAAACCTTGGGCTTCCTTGAACGTATCTACAGCTGACTGAAATTTTAGGTATCATGCATCGCCTCGCAAGATTTGAAGTTTAGATTCTCAACAAAATTTAAGAACTGCCTAAATTTCTTTTCCTTTACATGTTAGCCTAGCTTAAACTGCCTTCCCAGAGCCCCCAAATTTCCTTTGTCTCTGCTCCCGTGCAAGGCGTTTTTCCTGCTAGAGCACTATTTTAGAAGATCTCAGCCACCTATTGATGCATAACTATGAGCCACTCGCACCCTAGTATATGTGAATTGGTACTGTTTAGGGGCCTGTAGGCTTCTGCACTGCTTCATTGTATCAGTGCCGAGATCGGCAACGCCTCCTGAGCTGTCATTTGAGAAAGAGCGAGGTTCCTCGATATCGAAGATTCTGAGAATCCATAGCCTAGGCCATACCCACCTGGGTCATGTACTGTAACGTGCTTCCTTTGAAACACGAAAGCCGCTATTGTTTTCATGTCAAACAATAGCAGTGAGCCTTATGAAATTGTTAGAAGCTCGACTTCTGGGCATTCTCACCTCCCGGCCAGTATTCTGCTCCCACCCGAGACTTCTGCATGGGAGTAACGCTTTTTGTCACGTGCCACAGGTGGTGACGGTGTCACGCGACGGTCACGGGTACGTCTGGGAACTCAAGGACGGCAAGAAGGTGTGCGAGCTGGCGTTCTCGGCACCCGGCAGAAGCGCCGAGAAGTACCTGTTCAGGGCGTGCAGGTGAGGCGTTGCAGGACGATCAAAGCATGGTCTCGTAGACACAGGACCCACGGACAACTTTAGGTTCCCCGCCAAATTTAGCGGAAAGGTTCACGTTGCATGACGTGTGCACAAATTCAATTTCCCCACAAAATTTGTCGGGAAAACTCATCACGATCGCACTGCTGCCGCCTAAATGCGTCACGCAGCATGATTGCTGCGCTAATTTTTTGGTACACTTCTCTAGTTTGACGCTCCGAGTGCAGTCTGCGAGCATCTGCGTCGGACGTGCTGCGTATTCTGCAGCTGTGTCGCGAGAGTTGTTGCGGCCGAGTCGCAGGAAGGCTGAGAATGGCAGGGAGGTTCCCAAGCATCGTGCCTGGAGCGCGTTTCCGACTGGTGTTTTTACCGCATCTAAATAGGGTGGTCCCCCGATTTCCGCCTCACTCAGTCATAAAAGTGTCGCGCTGTTGCCAGCCACATGACGGTCCGACTTTTGCGACATCATTTGTTGCCACTTCGGGACCTTTTTTGTTACGTGGGTGGAATGGTACGGCAAACGTGCTAAGTCTGAGACTAAATTTCCTACATGCTAAATTTCCTACATGACTAAATTCCCTTCTCCCCGCGTTTCCCTCCCTTCCGTCGAAGGCAACCCTCCTTACCCTTCTTCCGCGTCACGCCTTCCCCCCACCGCCATTTTCGTTCGAGGCCCACGTGGCGCGCGCCTATTCGTGACGGGCAGTACTTGTTTGCTATTGCGTACAAACGACTAGATGTTTTATTTTTTATTTTTTTTAAATATGAAGACAGTTTTGTTTTCTGACGTGAAGAAACTAGTGTTTGTACACCTTCATTGGAGTTCTAAAGCACACGAATACATCTCGATTGACAAATGTAATATCGCGAGCAGGGTGGGAGTTGCTCGGGTGTGAAGAAAGCTTTCTCCAATTTCGCTGAATGCGGATGACCTGACAAAAAGAAATGCGAATGGGGTCCCGGGTATTTTGAGACATTGACATGCACTGCAGAAATATACTGCGTTTACCCGTTTATTGCAGCTAGTGCTGAGGGCAGGAACATAATAGAAGGCACCTTTTCAGCGTGTAAATAGACAGTTTTAGCGGATCGTTAGGCAAGGGATGCGCTGCTAGCAGGAGCTTCTGCCATCGCTTTAAGCATGGATTCAGCGTGCGCCCGCAAGGCTCACAATCCTTAGCATACGCTCTACTAAATCTTTCTATAGTCTATCTCAGGAGTTGTGTTCAACAAAGGCAAAGGCATAGGTGCGGGCACATGGCTTTCAGATTTGCTTCCCTGAAAGAAACTGTGACAGCCACACTCTCGCCTATGCTTTTGCATTTGCAACGTGCAACTTTGCAGTCTCGGCATCGCTCGAGTTCGGCAAACAAAACACGGCACAACGCGTGCCAATCTAGGTTTTTCGGTAATCTTTATCATTAGCGATCGCTTTGCCAAACCAGCAGCTTGGTTTACTTCATACTCATTTTATAAACACTGAATACTAGCTGCAACTGTGCATGTGCTCACGGAGGAATATACAATGTTTGCTATTTACGCACTTTGTGCATTTAACTACCCATCAAATACATTCGTCTCCCTTGAAAGTACCGAAACTTTTCCAGTTGATTCGGCAGCGCCATCGTCTTCGTCGCTGAAGATATTTTTTTGCCGTCGGGACGGTAAAAAGCTTCTTTCCTTTCGCAACGCTGTTCGTACAATCCACAGTGCAGCAGTTGGTATCTCGTTGCTGCCGAGATCGTGGTACATAAAAAAACAAAACTACGGCCGGGCCGCAAGCAATGGAGCCACTCCCATTATCTCGTATGAAAATGGTGACAGTTCAGACCAGATGATTGAATCTCGCGGGAGGTAACAATCACGTGTTGCGCCCAATCCATTTTGAGTCGGATGAAAAATATATACTTAGAGGGAAAGAGCATGGGTGAGGAGGAATTTATCTTCCCCATTTCAGACAATGGTTTGCACGACCTTTCATTATATATAGGGACCTTATCTGAGATGCATTCGAGGTGCCGCAGCGTGTGCTTGCTGGCAACGATGGCGCTTGGTGTCTCTTGAGCGCCAAACTTGTGTGCGCAACCAAAGCATTACGGAGGGCAGTGAGTGCGTGCTGTCTTGTGCCGTCAGTGACTGTAGCGGTCCGCAACCGTCTTGTCTGCGGCAGGTTTGGCATTGTGGAAGGGGACCGGAGCAACCACCGGCTCTTCACGATATCCAACGCGGCAGTGCGCAAGAAGCCGCCCTCTCCCTGCTACCTCGTCAAGTGGGACGCCCGCAAGTTTGTCCCAGAGAAAGTTCAGGCCACGGGTCCTGACATGCTGTCCTCGCTGGCTGTAAGGTGAGCTCTCGGGAGATGGCTGGTTGCTGTACGACTGTGCCACGGGCGCTTTTTCGCGATGGGAGGAAAAGCAGTCGAGAAATTGCGCGTCCTCGAGAACATGAGTGCGTAGCGCGGGATTGCGGTGCTCCTGGCAAACGAACCTTTTAAATTCGCGGCAGCGGCGCCACCTATCTTGAAATGTTGCAGACTGTCGTTGGACTTTGGCTCTTCCCTGTTATGACAAGAGTGTGACAGATTTTTCTGTTACGTACCAATTCCATACATGGGTCATTGTCCCGAAAATTAAACATTTAGGTTCATGAAAAGTTATTTTGGTGACATTGACTATATTTTACTATATTATGTTGATCAATAGGTAATTTATTGGTTATTTTTATAGAAAACACTGTTGAGCTTCCAGATGTTTTCTTTATATCTTTAACAACAAATATTGTAGAGCATACTCAAGATAAAATAAGTGACAGCTATTTTAAAGCTTTTTTTTTCATTATCAGAATGTCTTTTTTGTTTTCATTTTGCACTATTAATGCCATAAATAAAACATATAGACTCATATTTTGTGTAAAGATTAGAAAATATTCTGGTGAGGGCTGTGTTGCTCCGCATCTTGTATCCGCTTCAAAACTAAGGTGACTGTTTTCGTTCGCATGCACCATTTTGACAGTTTTCAAGTGCGCACAAAAAACCCAGTGTCAGTCGTAGCAATCTTGCAACGTTGGAGTCAGCGACAAGTGGCACGACGGATCAACCCATGATTAGGGTGACCCGTGACATGACTTACCCATAGAACATCTGCTCGTGACAAAGCTCACTTGTGACACGACCGACTCGTGGTACAACTGCCCCCTTATACGACTTACGGTTCACTCAGATTCAAAATTGACGAGAACATTCGTGCATCCTACAAATCAATTTCACTCGAGGTATCTCTTAGTTGACAGCTTTTTTTTTTAATTGAGATTTTTTTACTTATAGTGTAGCTTGTAAACTTTTGGGTTTCCACCCCAAGGAATGGTGTGACGAAAAAAGGCTGTCAAGTCTGCATGATTATTTTAGTTGATGCAATGACTTGTGCTGCAATTTACTCGCGACTGACTGTTATACGACCATTATACACTTCTTGCAGAAACTATAGGGGGCGCTTCGAAAAACGTGCCTAGCGCTGCTAGTGGAAAAGCTGGCATTCGACAGTGATACGCTTTGAGCAGCCTGCGGCACCTTTTCGCAAAGCTGTAGCGGCGGAAGCGCACGCAGACGGAGCTTTGGCTTTTTGAGCCAATACGTTGAGGGTGACGTTGCATGAGGGCTACAGCAGACTAAAGAAGGACATCTAGCTGTTCTCCACTTCGTATATGTATGTCCCAGAAAATAAATTTTACATCTTCCATCAATCACTGCATGCTGGCTTCCGACAAGAAACCTTCCCAGCTTCTAGAAATGCAGCCACTGCATTTCTTTACATAATTGACGGGACATTTATATCCTGAAATTATTCTACCACAAATTCATTGAGTTCAGCGTGAAAAAGAAAAAATCAAGATTATTGAAATCATGATTTAAAGGGATGCGAACCGAAATTTGGATTCCACAAAGCACGCAGCAAGAGCGTGCAGTGGAGTGCTACAAATACCAAAACATCACTCATACAGCGATATCGCAAACGGATCACCGTTTGCGATATCGCAAACGGTGATCCGTATTTTTCAAGAAAAGGAGGCGCATTTGACAGAAATGGTCATGTCATGTTTCTCCGAAAAGGAGAGGGAACGGCCTCGCGTCTTCTCCGCCTCGCCGCCTTGAGAGAGCGAAGCGAAGAGAGGAGGCAACTGGGTACCTTGACGTCATGCGCCTCGCCAGCCTGGTTCAATCTCGACCTCTTTTTCCAAAAATATGGCCGTCCATTCGAGATATTACACGACTGACAGTTCGGGCAAATTAATTTTTTTATAAGAAACCAAGTTAGAATTTAATATTTTTAACACCAGGTGAACATACCGTACAATACCGGGCAAGTGCCCACTCAAACTTTGGAGATAATCGCAAACAAATGGGGGATGGGTGCTTGTCCGGTCATCAGTTTTACATATAAATGTACTGTGCATATTTTCTCAGATCTTACAAATTTGGTAATGGGCACTTAATGTGGAATGGGCAGATGCGCGGTATTCTACTGTATGTCTGTTTTGTCACCGCAAGTTAGTTCTCATCGAAATATTATGAAAAATGGCACATAAATATACCACTGAGACATAAAAAAGGTACACATTTATTTCTGTTCATTCATAAGCTAAAAAAACTTTAGATTTTGGCCCAAAGTGAATGGATCTTGTAAGACTTCCCTGAAAGCTGTTAAACAGCCTCCATACTTACGAATTGAACATGGTTTGCGGAGGTTTTAGACAAATTTGTATATCTTTCGTTATAACACTCACATTCCGGTTGGTCACTCTTGTTTCTTTTTAAGATTAATAAAAATATGAATACGTTAGTAGCACTAGACGCTAGGATCATATCTTCAATTGGAGCCGACGTAAGCGTACGATTCACGCCTTTGTTACTAACTACCACACAAGTGCCTGCCTTTGAAGCTTGTGTGGTGGTTAGCAGATACAAAACAAATGCTAAAATTACACATGGGATGCCATCTAAACTCACTGTTTTCTAAGATAGTCCCAATTATGAGAACTTGAAAATATTTGTTTTTAGGACACACTGACAATATGCTATACAAACTATATTTTAGGAATGACGGAAGGAAAGCATTTGAAGGTTACTTGACAGTCACGTTAATGTTTATTTTTGGGAGAGTGACCCACAAACTCGTATCGCTGCGTAAGCCAGATACGGAAAGCACAAGCTTTGGTGCGTCGTTTCGTTGCTGCACTGCACTCACAAGCATGAGACTTACATATAGACACCCTATTTCTCTTATCATTGCTTACGTGCTTACAGCGGAAAAGATGGCTGCATTTGACTTAATTCAATGACCAAAACCTGAGCACCATGATGTTACACCGTCACTTCACGGCACTTTATAAGGGACTGACAGTGTAGTATGTTGTGTCTGCACGCAGCTACTGCTGTGGTGGTGTAGGACTTGTGCTTATTTTGTACTTGTGTACCAAGTTACTGATATTTCATGCGGACATCAAACAAAAGTTAGTCGCCTGTTGCAGGCAGGTTTTTCTATACAACGAGAAACTTCGCCGAATAATTTTAACATATTATAAAACGAGGACTGCACGTTCGTTTCATCTTAATAGTCTCATTCTGGTTATAGTGGAGACCTGTCCATCTTACTGTCCGGTGCTTTTGTGCCACAAAACCGTTCTCATATTGTGTAATTCTTTCAGCGAGGACGGAAGATTTGTCGGTGTTGGCCACCTGTCCGGAGCCGTGGAAGTCTACATAGCTTTCAGCCTCCAGGTACGTCGGGCTCAGCCTCTCCAACTACGATGAAATCGCAAGGATTCTACAATTAACCAAACCGTGTCTCAGACTGTGAGGATTTGGCGGGCATCTCTCGAGCCAACCGTAGAAAAATTAAATGTGTCCGAGAACTCCCGGCAAAGCCCATGAAGTCGAGGCAACTTTTCATCCCCTAAATGTTTCTTGGCCTTGCGCATTTTAGCAACCTTTCTTCCTTTTTTCTACTTTTTTACTCATATTCTTTTTTATACTACTTTTTGTTTCTTAATTCTTCAAAATTATGTTTCAAAATGTTTTAATGTTTTTTTTTAATTGTTCTCGTTTTCTTATTTTTTTCTTTGTTTTTGTGGCTGCGGGATCAGCGGCTGTACCGGGCCGAGCACGCCCACAACATCTTTGTGACGGGTCTGGAGTTCCTCAAGTCGTGCGACGAGACGCGGCGCCTGGCGGGGAACTACGACGCCTCCCTCATCAGCATCTCGGTGGACAACCACATTGTGGCGCACCACATACCTTTCCCAGGTGAGCGCCAGGCCCTGCGCACACTGCGAGGTCCGTGGCCCGAATTTGGCCACCGGCACGGCTTGACGGAATCCCCACTGTGTGGACAAACTTTTCGAAGACGTATATCTTTGTCTCATCGTTATGGACGACTTAAATTATGGGAGATTTTTATTGGCAGAGAAGTGAGGCGTTCGTATTAACCCGACACGACTGCATTCCACGTGACCTAGGTTGTTTGCTCCGTGTATTATTTCTTTAATATACCGGGTGTCTGGGAAAAGCAGTTCAGTGTTTTTCTCGCCGCAAAAGCGAACTGTGCACATTCAAACTCTGAGTCTTTGGCCATATGTAGGTCGAGCGGTCTGGATCCGACGCCAGTTTCAGATCTTGCCATAAGTGATTTCTGGAAAATTTCCCATGAGAGAACAATGGCCGACAAAGCCCAGGAACACGCAGAAGCAAATGGCGTCAGCTACCGGGAATGAGCCCCATTTTCTTGTTGGAATTTTAAAACTTCCTTATTCGGTCGTGTCTCGTGAAAGTGGACATGCAAAAATATTGGGTGGGAATGTTTCTCATAGATCTTGTCGTGTAAAATGAGAAACCCCTGGATTTTGTCACCAAGCTTTGCTATCGCCGAGGTGACGATGTTTAAATGCTATTCGTGCAGTGGACACGATCACTGCGCGAGCATTCGATTCGGGCTCTTGACAGTCGGTGCCTCGACATGCAGCCGAACCTTAACAACGTGTGGATCACTGCGCGTGCCCCGTCGTTTGCCAACCCCAGCGCGCTGCTACGATAGACATTGGCGGCATATAGTAATCGGCACCAGATTGCGGGGCTGCTTTTTCTGGCTGCGAGTCGGGGGAGCAAACGCTGCACATGTTTCTCTCGCTTTTTCTGCGAGTGCCCTCGCTTAGAGAAGAAAATTAACTCGTGTTTCACAGGCTATGAATAACGAGGAATAATTCGAAGCAGGCATTTAATGGGAGTTCAAAAATTGTTGCAATGCCCCCTTAGTTTTTACTCCACCATTTTTCCCAAAATCATCCATAATGGGAATCATCAGTAATAACGAGACAAATACGCATGTATTTACCGAGTTCGTCCCTGAAAGCTTTGTCTGTGGGGCGGGATATTCATATCAGTGGCGTCCGTGTAAGACAGACATGACTAACTTTTTAATCGGATAACGGCAAGCTTTGAAACTCTGGCATCTGCTCCAGACTGCTAGTGTTGCATCTAGGCGGAGACTGAGCGTTCGGCGGTACATAGTTGATTTTTCTAGTGAAAAACGCACTGAGAATTATTTTTCCAGAGACCCTATACATGGGCCATAGATTTTGCGGTGCTTAATTATCAGAAAAATCGCCCGACATTTATTTGTGTTTTTTTTTAATAAATTTGGAAGTATTGTTGTATTTTGGCAATTTGTTCCGGATGGACACCTAAAGGCGCGTTCACACTCTTGCAACCGAGTACGACCGAGAAAGACTTCTTGGGACCGGATGCACTGAGCGGCGCTGGTCCTAAGAGATCGCAAGAGGCTTAAAAACCGGTTTGGTCTCTCTCGGTCGCACTCGGTTGCAAGAGTGTGAACGGGCCTTTACGTTCACACTCTTGCGACTGCTTGCGACCTCTTAAACCTGGGTTCCTTAAAACTTCTTAAACCAGAGAACACACTGGCGCCATCTATTGGGAAGCAGTGTAAACTCGGCGGTCCGGCATATTTCTTTTTATTTCTCGCGCAATATCCTTTCTTTTTTGGCTCGAAAAGCTTTTGTCAATGTTATAAACGAGCCTTTCTATGGGTATTACGCACATTTGACCTCGGAAATCCCGCAAAACCTTTGCTTTTGTGAAATGCAGTTCTAGGGTCACCGCGTAGATGACGCCACAATGTCAGTGTGTTCCCTCATTCTAGAAACATTTAAGAAGTTGTAAGAGATCTCGTATCTCTCAGTCGTACTCGGTCGCAAGAGTGTGAACGGGCCTTGACACGGTAATTATAGGCATGAAAAAACAATATTTCAAGACCTTGAGGCGAGGGTTTTGGGCATAAACAGTCCTAGCTGGAGCAAAGATTTTCCGAAACTTCTGTTTTCCGGTTGTAAATGATCTTGTAATTTTGACACCAATGGTTGTTCATCGGTTTTAACGGATGTTGTATTTTTGGCACCGACAGACATTTATTGATGTTAACCGGAAAGTCTGGCCTACCTGTATAGTACCAATCTGGTTGCTCATGAAATTTGTTCCGTCTCGTTCTTCATACAGCGACTATGGGAATGATGGGCCTGTTTGCCATGTTCGTCGGAGTGCTGCTCATGATCTACCTGCTCATGGACTTTCTCGGACTCTAAATCCGACGCCCCGTCGGAACATCCCAGCAAACACCGGTGCACCACGAGAGGGGAAGGTTCCGGAACGACCACAGTCCAACGTTTCTCACATTCCAACGTCTCACCGCTTTGCCGCCGAGCGTACCGACGACATAGATACAAAGACTTCTTCGCCGAGAACTTGTCGGGAGACAAGGGAAAAGTGACGAACAGCAGCAGCTTGCACCACGAATTGTTTCGAGCCCGGTAGTCGGCCATGCGAGCTCATCCTTGCTCCCCACTTTCTCGCGGGGGGGGAGGAAGAATTTGCGATAGAAGCCGGAGCATGCACAAACATCTGCTTCTATATCGCACTGCTCTTATGACACGTCGTCTCGACAAATATACAGCGTTTGTTTGAAGGACTTTTTGTTTTAGGAATTTTTTTGTGGTTTTAAACTAGGGTACTCCACTCCGCTTAGGGGTAGCTTTTTTTTCGTTGCGCACGTGTTTGTCATGCCAGCATACTTTGCTGCGAGCGGACGCAATGCCCACGCACAATAGACTTCGTGTAAGCTTTGGCGCGAATACATTGTGCTTCGACGTGAAGCACAGGGTGTTTACGCTAAAACTCGTAAGGTGTGGATGCCTCCCCTCCTGCACCTACTCTTTCTCTTTCACCTCTGTGTCCTTTAAGAGTTTGTTCCGCTCCTTTCAAACAGAAAGAAGAGAGCAGCTCCCATATAACGAAGCCTTCATGCAAGAAATTTTGCCGTCACTAAAGAAGACCCATGTAATGCACAGCTTGGATACGAGTTCTGCATCAGCATTCGGCTGGAATTCGTGCTCGATCGACGAGAATGTCTCAGCTGAACGCTGATGCAGCAGTCGTGTCAAATCTGTACCCCGCTTCGGCGTTTTTTAGGCTGCGACAAACATTCAGCGCAATGGCTTCGTTATCTGGAAGGTGTCGGGCATGTTTTTCTTTTTTGCTCTTCTCCTTTCTACCCTCTCAGTTTGGGGGGGGGGGGGGGGGAGAGAGGGAGGGGAAGGGGGCGATTTTCTGCCCTGCAGAAAATTTGGGCACTTCATTTCCTTGCAGGGGCACGCCAGCCAAAAATTTTCATGGTTTGTTTTTATTCCAATACCCCATAGTGGATGACGTTTCTGAACAATGTGACAAGCGTATTTATGAAAGCTGACCTCAGCATCCTTGTATAGGAGGGATTTGAGCTGCTGCACCTATAGAACTGGCATTGTTCCGTGAATAAACGAAATCTCGGTCCATTTATTGTTTGGCGTCTGCTTTCCTTTGTCCGTTTACAGACGAGGTGTGTAAAACGCAGCACCAAAGATCCTTGAAGCGTTTGTGACGTTTGGTTGTAAAACAATGCAGACGCGAGACGAGACACATGAACGACGAGAGCAGGTGAGAGCGTGAAACGAGAGATGGCAGGAAAAACTAAGCAAGACCGGATGGCCGATTGATACAGGGTAGTTTTTATTGGGTGGCCGCTTGGGCTACCTAGCTAATGCACGCTCAATTACGGAACTCAGTTTAGTTACGATTTTGAAAGACGACCGAAATTGGTCTTTTGGCGCAGATTACCCATGTCTTGGCAAAATGTAGCAGGGTTAGCCCTCTTGGTGCAATCGGCACAGCAATCACATCACTGAGATGATTAACCACTGCATTAACAGCCTTTTTAGCAGAACAAACATCTGTCATGTCACCATCGGCCTGCTTAACTGCCGTAAGCACTTCTTTTTTTATTTATTTACCTTGAAAGGCCTCGATGGGGAGACTACATTGTGGGTGGCGTCATATAAAACATACATTATTGAACAAATAATCAGCATAAAAAAAAAAATTAAATGACACCAAAACAAATATGAATGATGAATTCACAACAGATAGTCACAATTACCCACGTGAACTAAAAGAACAAACGAAAAAACTTACCACCCCATTTCAGTCAGTCGTGGCCGGAACAAATTGGGATAATTCGAACATATTAGTAGTCTTGGCAAAGGGAATTTGAACTTCGTTAGGGTTATCAAGAGTGCTAATGTCAGTGACTGGTAGGACGTTGGTTTGACTGAGACAGTGGAAATGCATAAAATGGACATCCGGACTATGACCTCCTTCAAAGCAACGCTTGTGGACATTATTACTGCAGAAAATTTTTTTGTACAATTTCTTTAACAATTTTGTTTTTCAGAAAACAGTTAAATTATATTGTCACCGCTTTTAAAAATATCATCCGCACAATATCCAAATGTTGAATTCTCTGCTGCACAAATATTTCAATTTTAAACAGAGCCGAACTGCTCAGATTGCACTCGCAAAACATATGGTATTCCAGTTGACAACAGCGGAAGCTCCAACGTAACATCATGCAAAGAGCCACGAAAGCTCTCAAGTGCTCAGTGAAAGAACTTTGTTCTAAGACAAGATTTACGGTATTAAGGGAAGCTCAATTCTTTGACAATGATCCTTGTATGAACCATAAACCAAATTGATTAAAACTGAGCAAGTCAACGCCCCTGACTCGACGTTACCATGCCTGATGCGATGTCTCAACACGACCAGCCATCTATACTTGCGAAACTTGGCGTGAAATTTTGTATTGATGTTCATAAATGATTTAACCAATAGTGGGGCGTATTTTAATGAAATAAATATCCCACGTGACTGGGACTAGCTCAAAAACTGGGCAACTTCCAGATGTCACCGGATAATCCCTTTAAATGCCTGCCACCATCCTCATTCTGCAAAAAAACAAAAAAGTATATCAAAGCATATTAAAGATTTTCAGATTAGCATGCAATGGAAGTTGTAGAGCCAGTACACTTGAAGCCTGACAGTCGGAATATTCAACGAGCCCACACAAAGTGTGCAAAACTATTTTATTAAAATAAATAGTTCAGAAAAAAGCGGCGGCTTGCAGCCTTTGGATGACCGGTTCTCAAGACACGACATACGAGATCTGGCCACCAACGTCCACTGTGGTCCCGTCCAGTTCCATATCGACGCCGTCCTTGTCTTTCTTTATCCGGAAGACGGCCTTCTCTGGAATGGCTAGCTTGCCTTCCTCGGTGTTCCCAAACGACGGTATTTTCCGTGGGCCCAGAACTGGATCCTCGTACCTCATCAGCGTGACCTTCAGTTTGTCAAGGTCGAGAGTGCCATCCATCCTCCCCAACCTTGCAACTACCTTGGCTGCAGAGTCGCCATCCAGGATGGGAACTAGGAGCTCAAACCGTCCTGAAGAAGGCTGCTGATTGATGCAACGCAGGTTGACAAACGAGTCCGATGCGTAGACGGCGTGCGGCTGGCCCGGGCAACAATCCTCCCTGACCTTGTCCTCTGCTTCAGTCTCGTCGCTGAACTTAATCTCAAGGTCGTCCAGCTCCAAGGTGTTGAGGATGTAGCGAGAGTTTTCCTCGAGGACCTGTTTTTCGTCAAAGTCGAGCGTCACATTGAGAGCCTCAATGCCGGTTTTTTCTACCTTCTCACGGACTGCTTGAGCAAACGGCATGACTTTCTTCATGTACTTCTTCAGCTCCGGCTTGTCCTTGAGCATTGCAGACACCACTTTGTTGTCTGGGAGGGTGCCATTGTGCTTCTGGAACAACTCCTTTAACATGGTCAGTATGGTCAGCTGCCAGGGAGGGAACGTCTTGGCAACCCAGACCGTGAGGCGAGTCATCTGGGGCCCTGGAGGACACATGGACAGGTCCTTCTTCTTGCACTTGTTGCTTGCAGCGGTCCTGAACGCCTTGAGCCGCAGACGAAACTCGTGGACGGCTTCCATGAGGTATTGCGACGACCGCAAAAGCGTCTCGTCTGCTTCGGATGCAACGGGCCACCGGGCTCTCATGATGCTCTGTTCTTTCCCGAGCAGGGACCATACGTGTTCGCAAGTATGGGGACAGATGGGACTTAGCAGGACTGCTTGCGTTTCTATGAACTTAAACACTAGGTCTCGGTGCATTCCCTTGAGGACGCAAAGCTCTCGGTACTTGTCCCTGGCCGCCTGGTATTCGAAGAAGCCCGTCCTCAGCGCCTCCTTGAACATCATTTGCTCGAAATGCTCTGCCGTGACTCGAATACCATGGTTCATGTCTGCCTCGAAAACCTTGTCAACGTAGCTGTCTGTTGGACCTGTACGCAGCGTGTTGGCAGAGGCAAGCATCTCCTTGACCCATTCCAGGAATGAGTATAGTCTGAGTATCCCAGCATCTGCCATCGTCTCGACAAAGTTGGCATCTTCGATGCCGTCTCCAGCATCTGCAAGTGCGAGACGCATCCCGTCTGCAGAGAACTTTTCCAGGGCATCGGCAAGGGTAAGGAAGTTCCCAGTCGACTTGGACATCTTCTCAGAGTTAAGCAGGAGGTGTCCGTTGGCTCTCATACCACGGACCCACTTCTGCGGCTCTGATGGCCACATGGCGCAATGGGTGAAGATGCAGTAAGACAGGTGGTTGGGGATCAAATCTTTTCCAGAGCAGCGAAGGTCCATTGGGTACCAGAACTCAAATTCCTTCCGCATTGCATTCAGCGCTTTGTTGTTCATCAGCTTAGGATCATTTCCGAGCTTGAGGAACACATAGTCCCAAGCTTCCGGGGTCATCTCTTCTGGTTTGATGTGGAAAGGTGGGCATGGGGTGGACCCCATCAGGTCTCCTCCTTGAAGGTAATGGGCAATGGTGTAGTAGGCCATGTAGATGGTTGAATCCGAAAGAGACTCAATCAACCAAGATTCGTCCCAAGGTAGCTTGGTACCAAGTCCATAGGTCCTGGAGCAGGCATGCTCGCAAAGCCAGTCCAACGTAGCCAAAAAGTTCTTGCGCACTTCGTCCGAGTAAGTCTCCATCTTTGACAGAGCAGTCTTGGCCATTTCCTTCCACTGTGGGTTGCCATAGTCCAGGTACCATTGATCGCACAGCGCAACGACGCACTCGTCACCCGAGCGTGACATCACCTTCTTCTCAGGCTCCATGTAGAGTACAGCTTCGCCACGTTCAATCAACTCTTTCTGGATGTCCTTCTTCATGTCCTGGACTTTCTTGCCTTTGTGAGGTCCCACAAGAAGCACTCCTTCATAGAAGCCCTTAAGGTAGACCTTCTCCTTGGCCTCTTGGAGCTTCTCGCGGTCATTCTGGCTCTGAATCTTGAGTTCCTCACAGGCAACAACAGCGCTCAGGGTCCCATACCCTGGAACCTCAATGATGGGAACTGGCTCAAATGGGAGCACCATGTGATCTGCAACTCCAAACTTCTGACGGAGGGCTTCCTTGTTCTTGAGGTCACGGAGGGCGGCATAGTCATCCGGAGCATCTGAGGGCACACTGGTCACCACACCGGTTCCCTTGTCCTCCTTGATGGTGAGCATCGGGAGAGTGTAAATGACTTTGTAGGAAGTCAGTGGAGACTCCAGTGCAAGCCCCATGATGTCTTGTCCTTGGAGATGTAGCAGGACATTCACACTCCCAGCTGCTGAAGTGAATCCTTGGTAGCTCATGTTGAGGGCAGCACGGTAGGTGCAAACAAAGACTTCTCCGTCTGCTAGTTCGAAAGCAACATACTTCATGTCGGGGCGCACCCAGCAGTTTGTCTGGCCGTACATGGTCTCAGTGCGAAGGGTCGCCGCAACAAGGAACACTTTTCGTCCCTCCAGACTTTTCAAGGCCTTGGGCAGCGGGGCAACCGCCTTCATCTTTACAAGAGTGTACTCTTGTGGTCCAACGCCTTCACCCGAACTCCTGTCATGGTCCATGCAGGGTTGGTTGTCCTTGGGCGAAAAGATGGTGTACCTTTTGCCAAACTTGATACGTTGGCGTTCTTTGAGCTGCTTGAACTGCCAACGGACAAACGAGTCGTAGTACGGATTCACGTCGGTGGTCACAAAGGAGCGTCTCCAGTCCACTTTGACACCCATCTTCTTAAGGTCCTCTCGAATGATCGGCGGAAAGTACTGCAGCCAATAGCTGGCATCCGCAAACTTGGCGATCTCTTCGTCCGAAAGCCCCAGCGACTGCATTATCTGCCACTGGTACTTTGCGGCGACAGTTTTGGCGGCCGCCTTGCTTTTCTTGCCCTTGGCCTTGGTCTTGAGGAGCGCTTCGGCGGCGTCGCCCGTGTCTTGGACTCCGATCTCATCATCACCGGTTTCTTCCGGAAACACAGGGGGGCACCCGAACTGTTCAATTTCGCGAGCAAGCTTGTCTGCGCAGGCCTTTATGGGCATGCCAGTGGCGTGAAAACCGAACGGGAAGAGGCATTTCTTCCCCTGCAGGCGCTGGTAACCGACCGCGAACTCGCATTTTGAAAGCGAAAACGTGTGGCCGAGGTGAAGGCGGCCGTTGACGTAAGGGTACGGGAAAGTGACGAAGAACTTGCCCGTCGTAGCAGACGATGCCTGATCGTCTGCGTTCCTTTCGAAGACTTTCTCGGCGTCCCACCTGGCTTGAACGGCAGCTTCGATGTCTTGGAGGGTTCTCACTTTGAACGTCCCTTTTCTCTCGCCGGTTGCTGCCATGCTGACACCGTTCTCGAGTTGTTCGAAATCAGTTTTTCACCCAGTGAAGGGTTCACTGGAATCCTTATGTGCCGGATTGTTAAAAACCTAGCCAGTTGGGCATGTGATGCAGGAAAAACTATTTCACTGCAGTCAGCATAACAGAATTGGAAACTTTTCACGTGGAAAGTGATGAACTGTCGCTCGCAAGCCGGTTGGTGAAAAGAAAACACGATGCACAAAAAGTTGCTCCCTTAAATTTAGACAAAATAAGCATCGTTATACAACTTTAAAATGCAATTTACTTTAAATTATTTATGACTTAAATATAATTTTTAAAATTTAAAGAACTATTTCGTCCGGCCTTGTTTCACATAGTTGTTTTCATAATGTTGTCAACGAGCCTAGAGGACGAGCTTTGAATGTTTTGTTTAATGGGTGGATGTATACCACAAACTATGCTTTTAAAATTGGGTGTTTACTTGCGCTACCCAGAGGTTTACATTGCGGGCTCGTTTAAATAATCTGGCTCGTCATTCTTAAATAAATAAGAGCTTCTAAAAAGGTTTCTAAATTTTAGTGTTGTATTTAAAGGCTAAAACATTGCTGTAAGTTCAAATTAATGACTTCGTCTTTTTTAATTGTCAAAATACGTATCATCATCACCGATTTCATCCAACGGCCAATCACAAAGGCAAGTTTAATATAACAAAGACCAAAGAACGGCTCGACCAATGGCAAGCGGAAGAAGGGAAGAAGGGAAGAATTTTGAAGCAAAAAAGCACACGAGCAGCGAGGAGCGTTGGATGCGCGAATGGCAGTTCGCATTTGAAATATTCGAAGCGACGGTCGGTCGCAGCAGCAGCGTCCAGTCATGTCTTCCGACAAGACTGCTCCCCGAGATGTGCCAGACATCGTTGTTGACCGTCGAGCCAAGAAAGAATATGTCCGAGGACGATTCCTCGGCAAGGTACGCAGCTCTTCAACTTACCTTTGTCGGCTACCGGTCAGCCTTGTTCCTGTGTGTTCCTACCTTATAGTTTGGTAGTTAATGGGCTATAACTGGAGGAAAAAAGAAAAATGCACACAATATTTGGTTACGTGCACGTAGAGGTAACTAACGGGCCGTCACTCTGCTCTGTGGTGTGCCTGTGGCCCCTTGTGGCAAAACCGTTGGGGTTGTTCCCTCGTTCCCACCTTTCGCATATTTGAAATAAAAATGCTATTCGGTTCGGCTTATCGTTCGAAATATATTGTTCTTGCAGAATATGTTAGCAGAAAATTTCCAGTGATTAGACATATCAGAACGCAACGTCGGGTGTTTCCTGTCGAGTGTCGGAGAGGGGTGGCATTCGTTCACACAAAAAGCATTTTGACGAACGCCATCTTTTGTAGTTTCGGGTCATCGCGCCTTTGGTGGGAACTTGTTTTAGAGAAAATTGTGTCTAAATCTACAGTTAGGTAAATGTCACTAAGCGGTGCAAGCCAGCTGGATTAACCTGATTAAATGAAAATGACCTCTGTACCTGTCCTCTCGCAAATAAAATGACCACCCGTCCCGCATTCAAGGCTCGTGTCCCGCGTCCCGCAAGAAATGCCACAATCTTCCAAATGACCCACGTTTCACATTGTCGTAACCTTCGCTACGCAAATTATGGCGCTTCCTAACAACGGGCCACGGGGGAGCGCGGAGGTTACTGATAAACGTGTGAATCTCGATGGTATGCAATTTTGCATCGAAGCACTGCGGGAAGCGAACGTCGTCCTTGCAGGAGCGAAGGCGCATGCGCCGTTGTGCCTCTCCCCTTATTGGCAAAATATCGTAAGCGAAAATTGCTGGCCAAAAGTTGAAAAGTAAACTATTGTATTTATTTACAGCACAGTATTTCGGGGTATGCGTGTTGGTGAATTTCCTTTAATACTTTTTCCTTGAGTCGTGAAAATACCGTCCTCCTCTTAATCCCCTCCCCTACCCTCCCCTGTCAGCAAGCCAGATTGTGTCTCATTGCAACCTACCCACCACTCGCATGGTGATCAGACCACCCCTAAAAAATGCCCGGGGAAAACCTTGACCTCATTTCAATGTGTCGACCGAAACTATGCCACTCTCCTCCCTGGCCAATAAGTTCCCAGATATGGAAGTAGTCTATTGGTGTTCAAAACGCGTGTTTTTATTGAAGACTCTGTGTCCCCGAATGGAATTCACTGTTTTTCTAACAGCGAACAGAAACTATCGATTGTCAAAAACTCTGTTTCTGCCTAAAATGTAGCTGTTGCGGTCTGAACCGGATGCCAAGGTTTCAGAACAAAGTTATGTTATTCAAAAGTTGTTACTGATTTTTCGGAAGTTTTCAAAGGTAAGATGGTGGCCGACAGAGTCCGCGAATGCATGGGTCTGAACAGCGTAAACTGCCGAGAATGGGCCTCATTTTCCCGTCGACAGGTTCAGAAAATCACTTGTAACTTTTTAACAAGACAACCGCTAGTCCTGAAACTTTGGCATCTGGCCCGAACTGCTAGTAGCTTCATGTTTGGTCGGAGATTGAGCATTTAGTGATGCGAATTTTATTTTTGCGGTGATACTTGAGAAACCGTGAGGCGACACTTCTCCGCCATATGAATTGAAAGTTCAAGTCTGGCAGTCCGTCCAGACCCACGTGATGAGCATGCTTGCTCATCATGTGGGTCTGGACAGCCACAAGCAAACTGTGCCGAAAAAGTGCATTCTCCCCCTGCAAAAATAACAAAAAAAAAAAAAAAAACGGACAGAAGCGGAGCGCTGCATTTTATATGGTGGAAAAGTGTTCTCATGATTTCTGAAATATCCTCTTTGGACATCCCTTTAGCTGCACGGGCGAAAGCCTTGACCTTCTCTGGGCTTTAGAAAATACTTTCTTAATACTGCACCTGTGTAACGCTTTTGGAGTGTTGAAACTCTGTGTCAGCTACCCACTTGCACATCTTTGGAAAGTGGGGGTTAACAAAACAAGTTTATCAAATGTGCTGCATTGACAACACAGTAAGATGGATTCCTCTGCACTGGCACAGCAGTAGCTTCCCACGCCTGGTTCCTTTTGCTCCTGCAGTTATTTTCTGAAACATATTTGCAAGATTTTCTCGAAATTCGGATTGTCCGGGCTATTTTCCAGGGAGGATTTGCCAAGTGCTACGAAATGACCGACAAGGACACCAACGTGATGTATGCCGGCAAGGTGGTCTCGAAGGCCTTGCTGCTTAAATCCCACCAGAAGGAAAAGGTAGGTTTTTTGTTATGGCCGCTCGTAGGGGTGTCTGGTGGCAGGGGAGGTCCCTCTCTCCCTGTGGCTAAACATAGCCTCAACAGGGATTTTAAGGTCGCGTGACCAACTCCATGGGGAGAAAGTACCTAGCATTCAGGACAATTCCCCCCAGCAAGCATAAGCTTTGCCTGTGGTTTTCTTCGGTTCTCTTCAGTCCTAAATTACACAAATGCAATTAATTTTCCTTGCATTTCAAGCTGGTTCACCCTCTTTCAGCGCGCAGTCAGACTTGAATAATCGAAGTAAAAACAGACTTATGGCAGCCTTTTCTTTTTTCTTTTTTTGAATGCTAGGTGCCTTTTGTTTTTTGTCACCATGGAGCCGGTTGTGTGACTCGAACTCTTTCCTGACCACTGGAAAAGTAGCAATTTACAAGGGATCTGCACAAATGCTTTTATTTTTCTAACTAGTTTAAGGAGCAATATGACACATCAAAATGTGTAGTTCTTTCAAAAGAAAGAGGTTGGTATAGGGTGCGAAATATTTGAACATTTTAATTCTTAAAAATACAATGTATGTGCTGAAGGCGTATAAATGCCGAAACTTCTACAGCTGTGTCAAATTAAACAACAAACAAGAAAAATTCGTAATAATAAAAAATGTGCCCACACCCACGGCTATTCCTTCTGAAAGTTGGTGTACTCTTAACTGACATTACTTATTTTTGGTTCATCCGAGAGTTAGGAACATGTCTGCTCTTTAACGAAAGAATGCTTATATTTGTGAAACACAGATAGTGCATTTCACGTCCCCAGAAGAATGCTTTCTCAGTGTTCTACCTTGGTTTTGTCATAGCCTTGATTGTAGTTACTTCATACCTAGAATTTGTGTGCGCCTTGTTGGGAAAATAAAACATGCAGGCCGACTCAGGACAACCTTGGCAATTATGGTGATGCGTGCTGACAACCATGTGTTAGCGGGCATCTGTAACATCATTTATAGTGTCCCCAGAGCTCCCGAGGTCAAAAAAGTATGCCGCAATGCACTCGAATTGTGTAAATAATGCTAGCTTTGTTACAAATGCATGTTAGACAAATGCAACCACTGTTTGCAGGACTATTTTTGACAGCCCACAAGCTAGTGATAAAGCTCAAACCTATGTCTAAACCGATACTAGAGTTCATCGGCTATCCACGAGATTCCAGGACACAATTCTCCACTCTAAATTTAATGTCTTGACGGCGCTCGGAAACCGTAGATCACTGGTGATTGACGACCTATGGGCGCAGTCAGAATAGTCAAAATTCCTTTTCCCTCCAACTCTAACCGCCGGAAGAGATGCCCACATTCGCCAGCAAACTGGCCCTGGCATCATCCTTGCAAATACGGGGTTGCACGTCGATTGTTGGTGTTCCTGCATTACGCACGAATTCAGCAACTGGTCGCACCCCAACCAGCTACATTTCGTGGCGGTCGGCTCTATAAACTTGTTCACACAGTCGCATTGACTCCAATGCGTCGTAAAGCCGACCTCTCCATTGGCTCGTCGTAAGGGTCAGCAAAGCAACAGCTCGATGCAAGGAGTCTTAAGCGCCGTTCACACTTTTGCAACCGAGTACGACCGAGAGAGACAAGACCGGTTTTTAAGCCTCTTATGACATCTTGGGACCAGCTCCGCAGCAACGCATCCGGTCCTAAGACGTCGCAAGACTTGGCTTAAAAACCGGTCTCGTCTCTCTCGGTCGTACTCGGTTAAGTGTGTGAACGAGCCTTTAAAGGTGCACTAAAGACATTTCTGAGGTTTTCTGTTCTTGGTGATAGCTCATTATACAAAGTCCTGGCATCCCAGAAATCGAAAAATTATGCTCCTGCAATGTCTATTTCTCTACTGAAAACATACTAGCATAATTTTTTGATTTCTAGAATGCTTGGACACTCGAACTCAACTGTGCATGAGCATGTTGCTTCGTAGCTATCTAGAGTGGAATCTGGGTTAGTTCAGCATGGACATAAAGCATTCATCTGAGAAACGTGCATCAACCTTGCTGCCGTCAGATTAGTGAGGTACTTTGCTGATCTCTGCTCTTTTTTGTCTGTTGTCACGCCTCTATCAAAAAGTTTAACATTTCTACGAGGATGATGCTGCAATTGATATCTGGCCTTCTCTTTTCTTTTTTCCTCGATTGACAGATGGCACAGGAGATCACAATCCACAAAAGCCTAGACCACAAGCACGTGGTCGGCTTTCACAGCTACTTCGAGGACGAGAAGAATGTTTACATCATACTGGAGCTGTGTGGCCGGAGGGTGAGGTTTTGTTAGAGTTTCATCATAGGCGAAACATGGGTCGGGGCTTAGAAATCTGCACGAGTAAGGGTTAGCCTACGGGCATGGCGTTGCGTTAGAATCTACAAGGCAGGCTCCCTGCTCGGGGCACCTACACCTGGGGTGTTAAATGATTAGTGAGTGGCGTCATTACGGACCCCAGCCACGTAAACCATCATACCCGCTCGCAATTTCTTTATTTATTTTTTTCTATGGGCTGCCTAGTTTTGCAGATTGTACTGACTAATAATAGCAGCAAAAAAGAGTAAAGGATGCTTACTTCATTGACTATTGGGTACCGTAGTGCATAGTCAACATGCATAGCAGTGGCAAGTGAGCTGTCATGCCATGGAAATTGCGAGCTATTCATACCCGGCATCGACGGAGCAGGCGTCGTTGGCCAGGCCGCCGCAAATTTTCAAAATGAAAAATGGGTCGCGTGGGGGTCAGAGTTCAAGGGACTGCGGACCGGGCTGGGCCGAGCTCCTAAATATCCGCCCGTGCAAACCTGCAGCGAAGAAATGCTGCCGCAACTTAGTGGTGGTATGCTACGTTGAAGGCGGTTTTTCTGACCTACTGTCACCACTGCCCTGTCTGCCCCCGCAGTCCCTGATGGAGATGCACCGGCGGCGGCAGACGCTAACGGAGCCCGAGGTGCGCTACTTCCTGCAGCACCTGGTGCAGGCCTGCCACTACCTGGTCTCCCAAAAGGTGATCCACCGGGACCTCAAGCTTGGCAACCTGCTGCTCACAGACCGCATGGAGCTCAAGGTCGGCGACTTCGGCCTGGCCACCCGTATAGACTACGAGGGCGAGCGCAAGAAGTGAGTTTCTTCTTCTCTTTTAGATGCGTCGGCGTATATTGCCCCGGTGCATGCCGCTGTCCTTGGTACGGACTGGGCCGGTTTCGTGGAACCGCGGCGCGGTTCCCACCGAAGCTTTTTCGATCCATTTGTTCGCTGGTTCGTCAGCCTTCCTTATGCGAGAGGGAAAGCGTCGTAAGCTTTCCCTCTTGCGTACGGGACAGGATACAGCTGCAAATTATGGGGTTTAGCGAGGAGACTGAATTGGCCTAGAAATCACGCATCTGCAATTTTCCCACTGAATTTAGCAAAGAAACTGAAGTCATTCGACATCACAGGCCACGGCTTCACCAAATTTGGAGCAACTAGCCAAAGAACGTTTGCCGTTGAAAAACTGCAGCTAGTATTCACATTCAAGTTCACAACTGGAATGTGAACTTGAATGTGAGGAATGTGAACTGCTGTTTGTTTTTTTATGCCAACTCGTTTAGTTACTACCTTTAATAGCTTCCATCCCTGTGATGACACGGTTAATTAATACAGTAAAGTAAAGCTAAATTAACTGAAGCAGTCAATGCAAACCTGAGAATAACTTAAACATGTTCAGTGGAATTTTGTTCTTTAATAAATGTAATAAGGTGTACCGCAAGGGTCTGTTTTGGGGCCCCTGTTGTTTTTAATTTACGTAAATGACTTACCACTGTGTGTATCATCATCGATTAGCCTCTTTGCTGATGATTGTGTAATTTATCGAGAAGTCAATAATACTACTGACATCGAACTTCTTCAAAATGACTTACAAGCTGTGGCTGATTGGTGTGATTTGTGGCAAATGTCCCTCAATACTAACAAATGTAAAGCGATGACTATCTCCCGTCGAATTACTATATCTCCTACTTACTCAATCGTTGAAATTCCTCTTGAAACTGTACCATGCTATAAGTACCTTGGGGTGCACATCACTTCTAACATGTCATGGAAAACTCATACTGACCACATTATCGCCAACGCTAACTCCATGCTTGGTTACCTGAAGAGAAACTTTAGGTTAGCCCCAGTGTCCCTAAAACTACTAATGTATAAATCCCTTGTCCGTTCCAAACTAGACTATGCAGCAGCAATTTGGGATCCTGGTCTCTCAACTCTCGTGACTGATCTTGAAGCCCTACAGAATCGCGGTGCCCGTTTTATATTTACTAACTATCATCGCACATCTAGTGTCTCAACTATGAAAACTAATTTATCACTTCCTGCTCTTTCATTACGCCGAAAAATATCTCGTTTGTGTCTTTTTTATAAAATTTATCATTCCAATACTCCGCTAAAAAACAAACTAATGTTAAATCCTGTTTTCATCTCTCCGCGCGTAGATCATCAATTTAAAGTCGGAATTCCTCATTGCATTACCTCAGCCTATTATAACTTTCATTCCAAGGACATCTTCAGAGTGGAACCGCCTTCCCACGCAATTAGTAAACATACCATCCTTTGACTTGTTTAAAAGTGCGTTGACTACTTACCTATGTTAATATCTCTCTTTGTTTGTTTGCCTTGTTTTATACATTTCTTAATTTGTTTACATATTTTTTTTTTTACATTTTTCGTGCTTGGCTTTTAGTGTTTGTATATTGTTTGTGTTCCAAACTTGTCTTGTACCACTCCCCTCTGTAATGCCCCAGGGCCTTGAGGGTACTTAAATAAATAAATAAATAAATAAAGCATATTTATCGCTTGCATGCCGATTTTTGTCATGGGGTGCGGTACCCCATGACAAAAATCGGCATGCAAACGATAAATATGCTTTATTTATTTATTTATTTATAGAACATCATTGATGTTCATAATCAAACGACAAAAGCTTTGTATTCTCTAAATAAAAAAAAATGGTTTTATTACAGCTTTTATCTATATTTGGGTTACATTTGATTTTGTACCTACAATAACCATGCACAGCAGTTTTTACTCTCCTTCCCCAATGAGCATCTTGTTACAGTGCCTTATACTTCAATGCACTTCAGTCTACATAAATGCATAAATCTTAACATGATATTTGCACTGGAATGAATAAAAATGAAATGTTTGTTTATGCTCCAAAGGGTCCTCCAAAATCACTCGGACCAATCACGTCGGCGAGTAGAAAAATAAAAATATTTGATTATTGGTTGACCTTTATATTCAGAGAAGTAGGAGGAAACGAAAATGGTGCAAGTATTATCTCGCAGAGTCTCTACTCGACGTATAGTTAGTTTCATCTTAAGTCTGAGCACAGTCGAAAGCTCGACAGCCAGCTCACGCTGCAGAACCCAGGGATCCTACCTGCCCGTTTCAATCTGTATTAGCATCATACCTGTGTGTGCAGTCGTGTATCACTACTGCGTGGTGCACGTTAAAGACCCCAGGCTAGTGGTTGTACCGCACTGGCTAAATTGCTCAAGCTGTATAAACATACTCACTGAAAGTGCAACTCGTGCGGCATTCGTCGCTGCACTTGATTTGTTCAGCCCATGGAAAAACACTTAGGGCCGGTTGCACCAACGTCGCTTATCTTTACCCAAAGCGGCTCTTTCTTAAGGCGGCTTAGCGTGCTAAACTGAGCTCAGATAAGCACGGGTTTAAATTCCGGTTGCACCAACGTTAACCCGGCTTTACAGACGCACCCCTAGCTAAACGCTGGATTTGCGTAGGGAATGTAGGGATAAACAGAGCGAACTAGGGAACGCTCAGGGGGACGAATACAATTGGCGGAGAGGAATCACGTGATGTAAACAAAAAAACTGCCGTAGTAGTCGTCGGCGTCTGCTTTCGCTGTATTTCTTCGGTGAGTAAGGAATTAAAGGTCTCCAAATTCAATCATGTTTTCGCTTAACGTTCAAAAACTGTAGTCAACGCTTTAAATAAACACGAATGCTCTTTACATCTGTGATTGTGTGTTTAATATCGGTTGATAACAAAATACTTTAACAGTGACAGTAGTTTTCGTGCTCACATTTTGAGATAAAGGAGCCATCGGGGGCCCCAAATCTCACCGAACGCGAGAAGGACGCTCTACTCGCTACATCACTGCAGACAAAACATCATCGAGAATGAGTAGGCAGGTAAGATGACTACTAAAATCAAGTCATGCCTGAGACGGATAAAGCTCAAAACAATGACGAACTCGCCACGGCAGCTGCGCAAATGCCCGGAAATCGTCGAATAGAAGTCGTCGAGAGGTCAGGTCACGAGACCTTGCATCGACGGTACTCATTGCTATCAGCAAGATGACAGAGCTGCACTGTACCATCGTTGAACATTCGCTGCAGCCTCAAACGGACTTCAGTAGCACACTGTCGAGTTCAGAAAACAAAACAAAAAAACTCCTGTCGTACATCACATCGTGCCGGTAAGAACGGTCGTCTTTTCGCATCACCTGCCCCAGCCTGCCCCGATACAGCAATGAACGAATCTAGCATTGTAGTCGTTACGATTTGTCGTCGCCACTGATGAAAGATATAAAGCAAAATATTCCTAAAAAATCGCGATCACCAAAAAAGTTTCGGTTGTGGAATGATAGTTTTCTGAAGCCAAGATTCTACTCGCGAGATTAGGAAAATTCACTGAAGATTGTCTCAAAACTCAGAAAACGAAAAAAATTGAATTTTCGCTGTTTTATTACTTAAAAGCGCCGCAATCTAATGCAAGCGGCAGAGGTGTCGACAATCAACTGATCGCCGAGATCATGTACTGCCACTATTCAACGCGCTGATAGGATTGAAGGATACGCGCTGCAAGTGTAAATAAACAAGGTGGTAAATAACAATACGTTACAGTTATGCGAAAATCAGTAAGTACATACGAATAAGCTCGTTGACAGAAGAACCAACAGGAAGACAGACGTGAGCCCCACAGCTCTGTACATATGTCATGTTCCTCCGCGGGGAAGAGGGCATGTCGAAAGACGAAGCGACACATAAGTAGACGAGCAAAAATTCATTTACTCACAAGCACAAAGGAAAGCAGAACAGAAAACAAAATTATAAGCGGAAGTGAAAGAAAAAAAAATAGAGTGGTTAAATAGCTACAGTCAATACAGACAATCTCGGTCGCGCGCTGAGAACACTCAGTCTCGAGCGTCGATCTTGTTTGGAACGGAACGCGGCCTTGTTCTTCGATGTTACGGGTGTGGGTCCAAGCTTGCTAGGAGCTCTGGGCCTCCCAGCACCGGTTCGATGGTATCCTTTGACGGACCAGGTACGCGGCCTTGTCCTTCGATGTTACGGGTGTGGGTCCAAGCTTGCTAGGAGCTCTGGGCCTCCCAGCACCGGTTCGATGGTGTCGCTTGACCGACCAGGTACGTGGCCTGGGTTGACAGGAGTGTTGCGAGGACACCCCTTCGCGTCCGCCTTCGAGCTCGAAGTCCAATGCTCCGGGCTTCTGGTGCGAGCAGCAGGCACGACGTCGCCCCGGCTCGATGGCGGCGAGAAGACCTGGAGCGGAGCCAGGGTTCTCCAGGAGCGAAGCCTGGGCTGCCGGGAGCGTTCGCGTGTCAGCTGCCGCCCTTCAGGTTCAGTCGTCGAATGTCCTGCGCGAGCTTCTCCTTTCCCTTTTGCTCGAGCTTATCCTTTCCCTTTTGCTCGAGCTTGCCCACTTCTTCGTCTCTCGCTTTCACCGTCACTTCAGGAACGTGACAACATATCTCGGTTAGGGCTAACACACCCAGAGAGTGGAGAGCCAACTTGAAAACAGGGGTCGATAAACACTTCACGCGACAATATTTTGCATCCTTGTCACAATCGAAGGTCATTTTGTCGACACTTTCATGCTGATGTAGCCTAAAACGCTTTGCACAACCAATTTCGTCGACCGCGACAAACCAGCCATCATGTTTTAAATCCAGGATTAAGAAACAACCAAAAGCAAAGCGCCCAATGTTGAGCGCTTAAGTTAAGCGTAGTTTAGTGCTAGGTTTAGCGATAGGCGATTTTGGTGCAACCGAACGAAACCGAAACTAAGCTTAGGTTCCCGGCTAAGCTCCGCTTTGCGCTAAGCGGTGTTGGTGCAACCGGCCCTTACAGGAAGATGTATGAATGCCATGATTTTGCGCTTTGACGCTGATACGCAAAAACATCTGATCCGTACCCCCCCCCCCCGCCCCTGCGTCCAGTACTCTGGTGTTTCGTTCTTGGTGGCTTGGTTCTTGGATGCTTACGCATCAATTCATGCACTTTCTAAAAACTAACTTGGTACCGTCTTTGGGCCGTTTGTTCCTGTTTCTCAGTCCTCTCGTTTGTGTGTTTTCTGCAGGACGCTTTGTGGCACCCCAAACTACATTGCACCAGAGATCCTGGGCAAGAAGGGCCATAGCTACGAGGTGGATGTCTGGTCCATTGGCTGCATTCTGTGAGTGATGTTTTTGTTCTTTTCTGTGTTTGCTTTCAGTTAATTTTTTACAGTGGAGCTATTAAGGGCTAAGTTCCCCAGGATCGTGTCCGGTACCACACAAATGTTGACACAACTCTTGACAGCCACTGCAATCTATGAGCGACGGCTGCAACCCGATAACCGGCTTGCCGGCCTCGCTTATAGATGGCGGCAACCTTTCCACTCTGGTTTTCACCAGAGTGTAAAGGCTGAATTTCTCTGAGCGTTGTCCTAGACGTCGTCCTTGAGGTTGTCCTAGACGTCGTCCTTGAGGTCACCCCACCATAGTACAGCTTCGCTGCTCTTCCTTCTTCACCAGTGGAAAGGGTGAAAGCTTTTTTTTTTAATCATTTGTGCACAGAAGTAACAAATGAAATCCGGTTGTTAAAGTAGCTACTGCAAAATCCCATATGAGCGCCCTCTGCTGAGAGATTGTCCGTTTCGTTTTTCTGGCAAAATACATGTACTATAAAAATTCTGAAACAATTCCCATCCCCGATTCCAGTCGAATATCACGTGACATTTGACGGGAATCGGATCAATCGCGCACTGTGCAGTACCAGTTACAGTGGGTCCTTGCGTCTTTGTCCCCGATTTGCACTCGCAATATCAGTTCCCGTGGCATGCGATCTAATCCCGCATGTTTATTGCATCCTGAAATGTGAATCTGCTTTCTCCGCAGCCTGCGGCATCCATTCCTGTGACAGTTCGTCGCAGGCTCCTGCGTCTTTGTTTGCAATCTGCGCGTACAATATCTGTTCCCGTGACAGGCAAATTCGTAGCGGGTTCCGACGTCTCTCTTGCACCGTGAAACGCAAACCTACTGGGTCAGCAATTTGCGGTACCTTTCTGCATGATACTGGAGTTTGTAGCAAATTCTTGCGGTTCAAGGCATTGCGAGTTCAATCTTCCGATCTGGATGAGCATTGCACCGGCGTGCTTTCGTGCATCGCCACTGCACGGTGCACGTTAAGACTTGGGGCAATCTGTGGTACTGTGCCGGCTGAATTTCTCATTTACGATGCAGACGCCAGTTGCCCATTGGGGCCGACTACCCTCCCTGAACGTACCCGCAATACAATTACTTTTTTTGTAGTGACCATAGTTGAGTCTGGCACTCGTTTGTCCGCAGCTTCACGCTGCTGGTGGGGCGGCCGCCATTTGAGACGTCCACCCTGAAGGAGACGTATGGGCGCATCAAGAAGAACGAGTACCACGTGCCCAAGAGCGTGAGCAGTCCCGCCCGGAACCTCATCAACCGCATGCTCCAGCCGGAGCCCGAGCGGCGGCCCACCATCGAGGCGGTGCTCAACGACGACTTCATGCACTCCGGTGAGCGTGGCAGAGGCCTCGGCCTAGTTTTGCAACTAGCTGTCGTCAGATTCAAGGACGACATCGCGACTGGAAAGCGTTCAATATAATGGCGTCTGATTGCCATAAAATCCCCAAATCTACCCCTATTTTTTTTTTTTTTTTTTGCTTCATTTTTGGCGTAAATGCGGCTTGTTAGCTGTGGTGGGATGTAAGCGAACGTTGCTGAATGGGACGTACGGTCATCTTTGCTTCATAGCCCCTTGCCACAATAACAAACTTGCAAGGGACACATGACCTAAAAATGGCATTTTTTCAACTTTTCTCCATTGTATAACGAAAGTTAGCCCACTCCATGTTTTCACCCGATTTGCTCTTGATTTTAGATGGGCTACCCTGTTTACTTGCGTAATGAACACACTTCTTTTTGTCCTGAAAAATTGACATATATTTTGGTTCTTTGTGCAGGGTAAAATTTTTTCATTTACTCATTTTGCGCAAATGTCATTTTAGGTGGCAATATAACACGGCAGCGTACTGTGGCACGTCTCCACTGACGGAGGCACACCCGCAACTGATCATGAGCGCGCCACAGTAACCGTTCCTAGACCTAACCTCATGATTTTATTGTTCGATAGTGGACCGCAGACGGCGACGTGTTTGTTGACATCAATGCATTCGATGAGCGAAGACTATCCAAAGCTGGGCACTTCCTCGACCCCAGCTTTGTTGCGTGTGCGTGCCACTCGGTTTCATTGTTGATCGCTTCCGCAACTTCACATTTGCAGCCATTACAAGAGCGTCTTGGCTTAGCTTGACTAATCTTGGCCGCTTGGCGGCAAAAGAAAATTGGCTGGTGGCTAGCTGCCTTGGACGCAGTTCGAGACTCGTGGAGCTAAAACTTGGAAATTGTTCATCACGCAGAGGGAAAAAAAAATCCAAACATTGACGCCTGTTGTGGAGGGTGCATTCATTATGGGAGTAAATACGGTATTCTTAAAATATTACGGTAGTTCAATATTTCCAAATTTATTTATAGTGTTGCTTTTTGGTGGGCTTTTGCAAGATTCTAAAAGTACCCGTGAACACAAATGAGACAATTTGTCACGTGCCGCATAATCGGCAAAAAGCTTAATGCAGTAAAAGAATGGCAGTAGAAGTGTGCATGAAAGTAGAAAGAGTACTTTCTAATGGTATTCTTGATTAACAAAAGTGCAGTAAAACGTGCAATAAAAAAAAATGCAGTTAAAGTCCAGATGAACATGTAAAAGAATGCTCATTTATATTTACACTTGTACCAATGGTGGCTCGAAACACGAGTTTCGTTTGGATTTCCAAGAGGAGGCCATTCTAAAAGGTGCACCGCCATCAATATGTGGTTCTATGTCTTCATTTTACTAGGGGATCGTGGTAATGTGGTCATATAATGTATTAACACCTCAGCTCGAAACACAGGGAGTGGAAGCTCATGCTGCAGACCCCAGGGATCCTGGGTTCAGTGCCTGCCCCTGCCAGTTTCGATCGGAATGAACATTGTACCGGCATGCGGTTGTGCATCATTGACGCGTGATGCACATTGAAAGACCCCAGGCCGGCAGTAATACTTCGCCGGCAAAGTTTCTCGTCTGGTGCGAAGACGGCAGACGCCCGTTGGGGGGCCAGCCAAGTTCCCGCTCTCTAAATGAACTCTCAACACAATTACTTTTGTATTATTGAATTCTCGTTCGCTTCGTCACGTGGACAGAAACCAAGGAGCAGGGAGTGTGTCGCGGGTTTTACCGTGGCAAGACCAGGCGAACTGGCGCACTGTACTGTCGTTACCCTATATATCTTTAATGTGAATCTGACGTGAATGAGGCAAGCAGTCGTGTGGTACGACTAGAGTCACTAAATAAGGTACGCTTCGGAGTAACGACACTTACCCATCTTGGGGCTTGAAAGCATGGTTGCCAGTTCTGTAAAGATTTATCTGAAACCACGGGAAACGCTTTTCCGTCCCCTACAAAGGTTTGCGACGGAGCAAAGCAATATTACATGAGCTTCCTAACGCCAATTTTAATGCGCAGGAAGTCACACTTTTGAATTATGATTGGCAGTTGCATCTGCTCTGCACAGGCACAAGAAGGCGGCGCCCACAAAAATGTTGGGGGACAAGAGTGCCGATACCCTATGCAAAGCTCATTTAGTGACTAGGTGACTTCTCGCTGCTCTCTGGCATGTTTGGCCTGGTCCGCAACCCTTCTAGAGCAGCTGTGCTACGCAGCTTGGTGGTTCGAGCGCCGCTGGGGCTCAAACCTTGTATATGAACTTTACATAAGACATTAACATTGTGTACCGCTCCCAGAGCAGTTCAGTTAGTGCGATTTGTTTTTTTGATGGGTGTCCAAAGGTTGCTGAATCTGTTTCATTCCGCAGGCCCTCTCCCGCGACGGCTGCCGGTGTCGTGCCTGACCACCGCCCCTCGCTTCGACACACTCAATGCCAGCTTTGTCCCGCGCAAGCCACTGCTTGAACTAAACACTGGGGCAGGTGAGTGACTTTACTACACACAGGTCCCTTGAAACGAAAAAAAAGTCATGAGCCAGGAGTGAAGACTGTTTTCTAGTCCTCATTCCCTGGCTCTTGTAGTAATCTTACGACGTAATCTCCCACAATAGGAAAGACCCATTTGCCAAAATCAGTTTATACAGTGCTGCTAAGCACAGCCTGGATAAAGGCACTTCAGATTTAAAAGAAAGCACCCCCCCCCCCCCCCCCCCCCCCCCCCCGAAACCGGCTTGTCAAACTTATCTTTTTCATTGTTGGAGACTGTACATACTAGCCAGTCTTTCCACCTTACTCTTGAAAGTGTTCGCAGTCTACAGTTGGACAGTACAGTCTGCAGCTGGTCAAGACTATTGTTCGTTCAATCTTTCTGTCACTAGGGGCTCTTCATAGATCTTTTCTGCCGTCCCGCAACACTGTCTGTAACCCGCTACGAAAACTAGAACGGTGCTGACGAAGCTAGGGGAGTCTTTGTTGCAAGAAGGGCAGCAGACTGTGAATGCTTGCTGCCATCTTGCCATTTAGTGTGGATTATTCATGCAAAATAGTCCATTCTTGTTGAAGGCATGAAAGCCAGTATATGTGCCATGCAAAGTTTACTGTAATCTCATTACCTGTTTTAATGAAGATTCAGTATCACCTGTAAGCGAAGCCTGCCTCTCTATTGTCTCTCTGTGTCTGGACTGTCCATAAATGTTCCAGTGCTACCTGACAGGTGGTACCGGCATTCTCTCGTCGTAACAGTGTCACGGTCAACTGCAACTGTTCAAATCGTGTTTGCGTTTGACTGACCGTGCATTTGCTACCTCTCTATACCTTGCTGCAGAAGCCTATTAGGCTTGATTTCTGGTCTATCTCGCTCAGAGTTGGACCCCAAGGTCACTCCCATCCCCGCCTCCAAGAGTGGCAAGGCGCCGATCAGGAAGCCAGCGTCCACAAAACGTAAGTATGGGCCGTGGAATCATTGTGAGTGGGTAGATAGGTGGAGCACAAGCTCGTCTGCTTTTTTGGCGCGGGTTGCGATGTCAGAATACAGAGTTCTGATTGGCTCTAATTGAGGGATGGTGAGAAGACCTCAAGGGTAGGTTGCTTTGAGGTCTACCTCTATCCCTCAATCACCACAACCCCTGCAAGAAAAGCAGGCGAACTTGCATTCTGCATGAAGCTCCTCTGAATGGAAAATTGGCTATAACATTTGAAAAGCACCGCTCGCTGTAATGGGACAATCATGATGGTGGGCTAGTGTGCGGGTAAGCAAGAAATGGAGATCTGAGAATTTGCAATGGAGGAAAAGGAAGGAGGGAGAGTTGCTGTTTCTTCAGCATGCAACGGAGGCCATGAACCGATTGCCGCAACCGGGGAGATGTTGGAAGCACAGCTTTGCAACTGTCCACGTCTTCGCTTGGGCGTTTTTTTGTAGATAAATCAATTTGATCCAGAAAGTGGCTCTGTAGCAGTGCGCTTTTGGTGCGTGTGTGTGCATTTGTATGTCTTTAGCCTCGAACTTCACTCTGACTTTACTAGGGGCAGTCCTGGTAACAAGAGTGTCGGAAAAATAAATCTTAAAAAATTGGCAGTGACCTTTATCCCCAAAGTCCTATAATAATGATAATAATGATTTACTTTGATGCCCCGGAACAACCAGCCGGTCAGAATATGGTGGCACATAATTGAAAACCAAAACGGTCCAGGTTAATAATCGGATTCACCTTTAAAAACAAACAAATCTGAAAATACTTCAACATGAGGAGACGGGATTCTTTTTCAATAGATGGGTAAAATATACATGAACATCTGGAAACGCGGGTCTGCACGTAAAGTTGTATTAGTGATGACAACAAATCACTATCTACACGGCCTTGAACCACTTTGTGTAAAAAAAAGATCATGAGCAATTCTTCTTTTCAACAAATTGCATTAAGAAAGCGGCATGAAATGCGGTATTTAAGGTGCGATTGCTTAAAATTATTTGGAAGACGTTGAAGCGTCGTTTCGGAGAGTGCAGAACTTTTTTTTTTTTTTTTATCAGATTTTCCAACACGTTAAAGGGCCTTTTTTTTTCTTTTTTTTTTTTTCTGGTTTTTAATTTGCATTGAACCTGAGCGCAATGAACATAGTATCTTAATAAAACTTCTCTTTTCTCGAATTTGCTTTAGTTTAAAAGTTATGGTCAAATTAAGATTACAAAAACAAGCAAAAAATAACCTCCTTCATGACGTCCTTGGTTGCTTTAGTGGCCGGGAACTAGAGGAGGGGTAGTGAGCTCGGCGAGCACTCGCGGCAGCTGCACTCCGTGTCGACGGCTCGAAAGGGCACCACTAAAGCGTGTTCTGGATAGTCTGTATGAAGCGGGCAGCCAGGGCGGCTGGCATCTTCTTTGCTCCGCATTTGCACACTAATTCGGCATGTCACTTCATTTGCCACAAACGACAGCAAACTCGGGGTAAAGATCAGTTCATAACGGGAGCCACTTCGTGCCGCCATACCGCCAAACGGCCAAACCACAAGCAAAAGCTATTCGCCGAAGTCCTCCGGAACGCTCGGAACCAGTCGGACCCTCGAAACCAGTCGGACCCTCGACTGCAGCGCAGCAGTGTACATCTGGGACCCTTCTAAGCTCACCGCTCGTCAGTGCTTGATCCCACTACACCTTTCTACTATGCGCCGCCTTTTCCACCGCTTGGTGGCGGGTATGTCGACAAGTCATTTCTTGTTTCCGTACATTATAAACTGCATTCGTTTCTTTTCTGACCTAAAATACTGAACAAGAACTACTTTTATAAATAATTGAAAGGGCTTGTAACACTTATATTTTGTATTTCGACTAAAAAGAAGCTTTTTTGCAGCTCTGACCAGTAGTAAGCCTAGGACCAAAGACGTCGCATATTGCGCACTTTCGATACCGCGGGTCGCCCCCGTAGGTGGAGGAGGTTTCCGCGTCGTTCGGTTAAAATATGACGCATTGATGTTCAATTACTCTCCCCGTGCCCGCTTGCCTGCTCGAACCCCAAGAGACGTGGAAACCGCAGAAAAAGTAGACGCTTAAAGGGACACTGACAGGGTATTTATGCTAGCCGAGGTTTTTAGTTGTATGTGACATATGAGAGCTCAACTACCCAGAACAGAATTTGCGGCTCTAAATTCGGTTTCTTTCCGCCCGAAAACCGCCGATCAAGAACTGGCCGGTTCGAATCTCGCTCACTCTCTTTTCCGCGATCACGGGCCGTTTTCTAAGGTATCGATGCGACCACCAAATTTAATCAAAATCGTGGGTCACTGAAAACACACACTCAATATTAAAAATAGAAAAAAATATGAAACCCATTTTTTGTGGCTTCTAAAAAGCTGCAAATACGTTGATTGAAAAAAAAAAGTTCCACAGACAACCGGAAGCATTCTGTGCGTTGGTCGTTTCGCGTATCGTGGGACTCGCGGGAACGGCGATGGCAGCGGACGACGGGCGTGGGACCTCTATCTCAGAACTGTCGTTCGCGGTACCGGCGAATTCTGCCTACTTTTAAAAGAGAAATTTGGGACTGATCAAAAGAATTGGTATTCATCCCGTACGACACGCCCGACCACTGAGCCGATTTGCACAAAGACGTCGCCGAGACGTCGCTCCCTTCTCGTGGCTGAAGACATCGCTCGCGCAAACGTCAAGCACGACGTGTCTACTTCGAGTAGAATATGCACGCGTACGATTTCTTTACTAGGTGCGAATGTCGCCAATGCGTGGTGCTTCCTGACTTCGACCCGGGAGTGCTTTTGCTAGACGAAAATCGGCAGCAAACTTTCCAACTTAGTTTACCGGCTGAATTATTAGTAAGGAAAGAGATCCACCATTGAAAAGATGCTCCAGTAGCTCATTGGGAACGACGTCCGCTTCGCACGCGGTAGGACCGGGTTCAATCCCCCGTGAAACCTTTCTTTTTTTTTTTCCGACATTTTTTGATGTTTACATATCTTTTCTCTTTTTTTTTACAATTATCACTGAAGAAACAAACAAAAAAGTGAAAGCTGCTTACAACTCCCTGTAACGCCGAATTAGAGCGCAGCTCTTGAGGAGGAGGAGGGAAGGGCACTGGGGGGGGGTTAAACTAACCAGGGGGTTCACGCGACCTTGGGGGGTCACGTGACCTTGGGGTCACGTGACCCCCAATGCCGACGATGTCATCACTGACGTCACTGATGACGTCATCAGTGACGATGACGATGCGGGTACCGATGACGTCATTAGTGACGTCACTGATGACTTCACCAGTGATGATGACGATGACGATGCGAATGTCGGTGACGTCATCAGTGACGTCGCTGATGACGTCATCAGTGACGATGACGATGCGGATGTCGGTAACGTCATCAGTGATGATGACGATGCGGATGCCGGTGACGTCATCAGTGATGATGACGATGACGATGCGGATGCCGGTGACGTCATCAGTGACGATGACGATGTGGATGCCGGTGACGACATCAGTGACGTCACTGATGACGTCATCAGTGATGATGACGATGGCGATGCGGATGTCGGTAACGTCATCAGTGATGATGACGATGCGGATGCCGGTGACGTCATCAGTGATGATGACGATGACGATGTGGATGCCGGTGACGTCATCAGTGATGATGACGATGTGGATGCCGGTGACGTCATCAGTGATGATGACGTCATCAGTGATGATGACGATGTGGATGCCGGTCATTGGGGGGGTCACGCGACATCGGCGGGGGTCACGTGACCTCAGGGGAGTCACGTGACTTCGGGGGGGGGGTCACGTGCCCCCCACGAGGTCACGTGACCCCGGTGGGGGGCTTGCGCGGTGCATTATGGGACATTTCCCATGATGCACCGGGGTCACGTGACCTCGGGGGGGGTCACGTGCCCCCCACGAGGTCACGTGACCCCGGTGGGGGGCTCGCGCGGTGCATTATGGGACATTTCCCATGATGCACCGCGCGGTTACGCCGACGGCGACGCCGCTCAAGCCGGAAACGGGCCCCTAAGAGCTGCGCTCTAAAAATAGCAAAAAAAATGTTGTGGACGACACTTCGCTGAATTAAATGGTATGGGATTTCCTTTTTGACACCTGCGAACTCAATGTAATCACTTTCCACAAAATGCAAGGAGCATATAAACCGGGTAGCGTCCGCTTTCCGAGGTGCCCGTATATGTTCTAAATTAATTGCAGCCAGCCATTGGTCCCGATCCCGTTGATCTTTCGGAAACTCTGTCACACAATGCCCTTTTTTTCCCGGACGCAGGACATGTGAGCCAGCTCTTCACGCAACATCTTGGGTGTATTCTTTTCGGAGCCGATCATGGAAATTCACCACGGGCACTCACTACTCATCTCCAACTCCTCAATGTACAAAACAACTCATCTTGGAGTACAGAACAACGAGCGGAACAAACATAACTGCAAAAGAAGCGCACGCCATGGCGAACACTTCCCGTACGCCGCATGTCGTGTCGTCTGCTACGGAGAGGAGAAAAAAAAAAAAAAACAAGAAAAACCGCACGGTCAGGTGTAGCCACGTGACTTCCGCCACTCATTTTCTTCTCTCCACTTCTCCGATCTCCGTCGGGTTTCGGTTTCGGTTTCAAGCAGTTGCGTCTTTTGGCTTTATTAAAAAAATACGCTACTCTGTTGCAAAATATTAATTGGGTAGTCCTCTGACACCATAATAAAGCGCCTGGCAAAAAATGAAAAAAAAATTTTGGGGGGTGTCAGTGTCCCTTTAAATATGATTGCAGGGCCCCTTTAAGCAGGGAAACTAAATGGGTGTATAGGTCTCGTGACGTCGGGTCATGAGACATCAAATTTCTTTATAAATCGGGCAAGGAATGTAAATTCGTCTACAGGTCATGCGACATCAGTTTTCCCGCTAAATTTAGCTGGAAATTCATACACCTTTTTCCTTCAGGGGTCTTGGGTAGATAAACCTAGAGCCTCGCTTCTCCTCGTACTGCTTATCACAATGAATCAAAAAAGGTCGCACAGAGACTGCCCGGTCTCCGTGACAACACCCCTGTACGGCAAGGCAGCTTCCGCTCCTCCCGACCACGTTTCTTACGACACCAGATTCATTTTTCATCCGTTTCTCCGTCCAGTCCGTGCCAGAATTCGCATCCCCACACTGTCCCAGCCTCTCGCGGACAGAGCGACCATTGACGGGAAGCTCGCGCTCTCTTGCGCAACAATACCTGGAGTTGCTGTACGTTGCCAGAGCATCGCATTCGATAGTGTCCGCTGTTACTGTTCAATTTTTAGCTTTGATTGGCCATTTTGGCACCGAGAATTACCACCGAAGTTAGGACGCACCCAGGTCAGAATGCGCTAGTTGAAATCATTGGTGAAACATGGTTGTATAAAAACAATATTAATTGTGCTGCAAAACCTTGTTAAGTAAACTAAACTTCTACGAAAACATCACGCTGGTGTCATTCTGTACTAATCTCTAGTAAGAGTTCCTACAAAAAGAGCTTTCTCCAGCGGTGCTGTTAAGGGCTAGATTCCGCAGTTTCGTGTCTGTGGACAAATGAATCTCGACACAACCGTCTGTACAGCTATCGCCATCTATGAGCGACAGCGGCAACCAGACAGAAGACCAACTTGCCGGTTGTCAGGTTGTTGCCGTCGCTCATAGATGGCGGCACATAGTAGAGCTCCACTGCTCATCCTTCTTCACCAGAGTGGAAAGGCTGAAAGTCTTTTGCGTTCGTTTTTACAGTTTGTTTTTAAGCAAAATGAGGCCTTCTAAATGTCGTGGTGAGCGCAGTAAAATGAAAGCCGTTTACAACTCCCTGTAATGCCGAATTAGAGCGCAGCTCTTGACGAGGAGGAGAAGGGGAGGGTATACCCTCCTTTCTCCTCCTCCCCTCGTGATCCTGCCTGCTACTCCCCCTCCCTCCTCCTCCTGTCCTCCTAGGGAGGGGTCACCTGACCTGGGGGGGTCTTGTGACCTCGCGGTTACGCCGATGCCGCTCAAGCCGGAAATGGGCCCCTAAGAGCTGCGCTCTAAAAAGATTGAGCCGCCATTTTCGTGGCTTGAGCCCAGGTGTTTCGGTACTTTGAGAACATTCAGCAACTCTAAAAATACTAAACCTGTGCACAGCCACCTCCGGCCGCATTCCGGCGGCCCCCAGCAACCCTCCCGCTGACCCAGAGGAGGCGACGGCCGCCAGCGCGGCCTGTCAGCGTAACCGGGACCACCTCCTGGGCGACCTCCTCAAGCAGCTACAGGACCTGGTGGCAGCGCGTCCGCAGGAGCGCAAGTTCACCCTGGATGACGACGCGGAAGACCCGGCCTCGGTGCCAGTGTTTTGGGTGAGCAAGTGGGTGGACTACACGGACAAGTACGGGCTTGGCTACCAGCTGTGCGACAACAGCATCGGCGTGCTCTTCAACGACAACACACGCATCATCCTGCTCAACAACCAAAAGTGAGTTGCATCAGGGGGGAGGGGGGAGGGAGGAGGAAGGAGGAGGAGAAGGAGATGGATGGAGTGGAGTGGGAGGGATGGAGCGCGGAGAGCAAAAGCACGCGCAGCCGAACCCAGGGATCCTGGGTTCGATCCCCATGCCCACCTGTTTCGATCTGGGTGAGCGTCATACTGGCATGCGGTCATGTATCACTATTGCATGACGCACGTTGAAGACCCCAGGCTAGCAGTCGTACTACACTGGCTAAATTTTTCACGTACCTTGGGTAAAAATGTTACCGTACTCTTGTGGTAGACTGAACTCCGGCTGCCTGAACAACTGACGAATAATTTTTTAAAGTATGAAGTGCTTTCTAACGGTACTTTTTAATCCCAAAATTTTGTCTGTCGTCCGTCTGCATTTTCCGCTAAATTTAGCGGGAAAGTTGATATCACGAGACCTATTCACGAGTTCTGTTTCTCGGCTAAATTTAGCATGAAAGTTGATTTCATGTCCGATACATGCAGTCCAATTCAGTTTTCCCGCTAAATTTGGCAAGAAAGTGGCATCGCGTGATTTATACACCTTGACGAAATTGACGTCACGTGGCCTACCGTAAAATACCAGGGAAGCGCCCTCTTCACTTTCACTAAAAACTGGGTTAACCCAGACGTGCGCGCTTGTCCAATCATATGGGGTGCTTGATTCCCAAGTTTGAGAAATGTCAACAGTGGGTGCTTCTGCAATGTTTTGCAGTATGCGTCGACTTACCGTAAAATACCGCGCATCCGCCCAGTCCACATTAAGCGCCCATTCTCAAATTTGTAAGACCTGAGGAAATACGCACAGTACATTTATATATAAAATTGATGACCGAAGAAGCGCCCATCCCCCATTCTCTCCCAGTTATTTTTTAAATTTTAAGTGGGCTCTTGCCCGGTATTTTACGGTAGTTTCCCCGCTAAATTTATCGGGAAAATTTGCGCCTTCGGCCAAAACATGTATTCAGTTTTCCCGCCAAATTCGGTGGGGAAAATTTGCGTCTTGCGACTTAGACACCGATCCAGTTTACCTGCCAAATTTAGGAGGGGAAACGTCACGTGACCTATACAACGATTTAGTTTCCCGCTAAATTTGGCGGGAGAAGATGCATCTGGGGCGTGACACTCAGATTCCCTTTAATGCATTTGGTGCATAATAGGACTTTGAAGGTAAGGTAGCTGCCAATTTTCATTCAAGTCTCACCCTTCGCTAATTGTTCTACGCTCACTAGGTGCACTGCGCAGTTTTATCTGTATCAACTAGATCCAAGCAACACCGCGCGGCGCAGAAGTGACTTAGGGGTGCCAGTGCACCGGTTACTATGATACTGCTGCTCAGCAGTTGCTTTCATCGCTCATATGTCCCCTGCTCAAGGTCGCACTGCTCATACTTCATACAAAAAGAAGCGACTTACGATTCTTATTCTTATTCAAGCAGACATCAAGTGCCTGAAGTTAAAGTTTACCCCGCCGGGGATGATCACAAGATCCGTGTGGCAAGCCGCAAGTTTGTCCTTCACACGGTCGCTTATGTGGCACCTGAAGGAGTCCAGGACCTACATGGCACTCACACCCAGGTGTGCGTGCATGTAGGTCCTGTAGGACCTCCATACCATGTAGGACCTCCATACCGAGTCTATTTAATCGATCATGAGATTTGTGTCCACCCAAACATTTTCAGGGAATGTACCGTTCACCGGAGGGGTCTTTCGCTTGAAGGTTAGGAAAGGGTTCAACTTTTGCTCGTCTGCCATGCAGCATAGCATTGCTGTAATCCTATTCTCATTTCCAGTCGAGGGAATTCACACTTGCTTGGCACCCTCCAATTCCACTGTATAATTGGATGGCAAGTTGAAAAACACGAGTTTGATCAGCGTTTCGATCTGTCCGATCATCTGGTTCCTGTACCGGCGAAGCTTGGTTACAAACAGGTGGAATGCAACCATTTGTTTGTCTCTCCATATGCTTCTCTCTTTTGCATTATAGTTTTGGAGATCCCGCTACTGCTGGCCTTAGAACCAGGACGGGGAATTTTGCAGCTTCTAGCGTGCCCGAGTGCCTTCACCTTGATCACACCTGAGGAGACGGGCAGTTGGTTCAGTCACAACCCCTTTATGTTGTCCACAAGAGTCTTCCAGCTCCAGAAAACGTCCACGTTGAGGGCGCAGCCTTTCTGCGAAGCTTTGCAGGCGAAAATGCGAGTCACGCACGCATGTCTCCGGAATGACCAAAGCTCATGACATGGTTCTGTTGCATTGTTTCACAAGGATGATGACTTTCCGCTTGAAAGGCACCTTATAATGGACTCGCCTTTTTGCTATCTTGCGAATGCCACCGAAGAACGCGCGGGCAAAACGTAAGTGACAGTCAGGAACGCAAAGCGGGTGTGACCACATGATAGGAAGATGGATGGATAGATAGCGGCTGTACCTTTGCAGAGGGCGGTTGCTCACGCCACCTAGCGTACTATGCAACCATGACATTGTTTCGACCTTTGTTAAAATTGGTTTATGGGTTAGATTGTAACGTGCATGCAAGTTAAGGCTCTCATTTTTGGGAAAAAAAGGTGCGCGTTACAGTTCCGCAAACACTGTATAGTCGAATCTCGTAAATTCAAACTCTAGGGGCGCCGAACATTTGTTTGAATAAAGCAAAGTTTGAATTATCAGGAGTTTCCTCCTATAGAGATGCATAGGATGGGACCTGCACGTTAGTTTAAATGATCCGCAAATTTGAATTAAGAGAGTTTGAATTAATGAGAGTCGACTGCTTGGAACGCATTTGCAGGCAGGCAGTTTGTCAACTATTTGGATTGCGTTTGCACGACCAGCGTTACTGTACTGTATTCTGCCCGGCATACTATTATCGGTGCGACCGTGGCCGTAGTTGGTGCGTCGTGCAAACGGGGATGACGTCTGCTCTTGTCTCCGTCCAGGAGCGTGACCTACGTGGACGACCAGTGTATCGAAAACTACTACGCGATGGACGGATACCCTGCGACTTTGGAGAAAAAGATGACGCTCCTGCGCTACTTCAGTGACTACATGAAGCAGTTCCTGCTCAAGGCGGGGGAGAGCGTGGCCCCCAGGGAGGTGGATGACCTCGTGAGGCTGCCCTGCCTCGGGTCGTGGTTCCGGACTCATTCGGCCATCGTGCTCTACCTCACTAACGGCACAGTCCAGGTGAATTTTGGCTCCCGCCTTACTTTCCGGCAGACTGGCTTACTGCAGCGTTTCGGCGGTATTGTCAAGAGCAGTTGGGATTGTTGGTGGGGTTATCTATCTGTAGTCGGTGTACTACAGTTAATGACTAGTTGGGCAGTCCACGTCCAGCACACGGTCATGGCCTTCTACGAGCCTTGGCGGTGCATGCGACTATGTCGCCAAAGACGGTTAGCTCGCACTGTAGGACCTTTTCCTAGAGTAACTGTATACGATCCACTTGCGGAGCAGAGTATGGCAATGGTGCTCCCAGGGCGGCCATGTTGGCTTCGAGCAGCGGTGCGGGAAGCGACCGGCTTTTTTTTTCCGGGATGTATGTTAGTGCGGGATGTATATTGGCTTTTTTAGTGCAGGATGTATATTTCGTAAATGCAAAGCGAGAAACGTGCTCCGCCCGAAGTTTGCCGCCTGCAAGGTCCCTTTCCTTCTCGAAGGTACGGTCCAGCTCTGTGCTCGCAACTGCTTCTCCGCCATTACGGAATTGGTGGGAACACGATGCTCTGGCTCTGCCAGCAGAGCCAATATAGATTTTCTACCCTTTTAGAGCAACGAGCGCCATCTGGGAGGATTTCTGTTAACTACAATCGTAGGACAGCCCGATGTGCCTCCACCCGTCTGAACAGATTGGCATCGGGCCGTTGTATCGCTTTTTATTGCTTTTGACGCTGCGCACTCCCGAAACTCAAAAAAGACAAAATATGCGCGAAGACTGGTGCCAAATATGTTGTCGTGCGAGACTGTGCCTTCAGAGAGTGACCGGAAGCAAGGCCAGAGGAGTGGGTATTTGCATGCACAGGAGCCTACTGCAGTGATGGAAGTACTGGACCAAATTGCACCTTGAAAGTCTTCTGCATCTTACACCAAAATGCTATTGTTGCTGAGAATTGCGCCATGCCTGCGCCGAGATGGACAAAATATGTCTTATTATTGGTCGACCTTAATATTCAGAGAAGTAAAAGGAAAGGAAAACCGTACAAATATGAATTTCACGGCGTCGCTACTTACCGTATAGTTTGTCTCGTCTTAGGTCAGTGTACAGTCGAAGGCTAATGGCCCGTTCACACTCGTGCAACTGAGTACGACCGAGAGAGGCGAGACCTGTTGAAACCTCATAAAATTTCTTAGGACGAGTGAACACACTGGCACTCTGGTGCCATATATGTGGTGACCCTGGAACTGCATTTCACAAGAGCGAAGGTTTTGCAAGATTTCCAAGGTCAAATGTGCGCAATACCTATAAGCCTCGTTTATAATGTGGACAAAAGTTTTTCAAGCCAAGAAAGAAAGGATAATGTGCGAGAGAAATAGAAAATATGCCGGACTGCCAAGTTTCCACTGTTACCCAAAAAATGGTGCCAGTGTGTCCTCTCGTTATAAGAGATATTAAGAGGTTCCAAGGCACCCGGTTCTAAGAGGTCGCAAGTGTGTGCAAGAGCCTTTAAACAAGCATTCTAAAAGCGCAAGTAACGGTAAATTAACTGCACTTGATTGGTGTAGCCAATGAAAGAACTCTTACATGCCATGATGTTTCGCTTTGACGCTGTGAATCAACCGGCCAGAGCTGTTGGTGCTGGGCATCAACCACTCCGGCCGTTTGATGCTGGTTGATTGCCGACATCATCTAAATTTCCAGACAATGTTGTCGATGTTGGGAACAACTGGTCCCAAGAAAGCTTTGAAAAATATGGGATTTTTGATTCTGGCTACTGTGATACAACGGAACCAGGGTCTTGTACTCCTGATGAGATCACTCGATTATCATGTCTGCCTCGTGCCTTCATTTCATGGCCACAGAGTACAGTGGCCCTTGGGCCACTCGCGTGGACAGTCTGACTTACCAGCGTGCGTGTGTCGAGCTTCACTGCTTTGCACGGGAGTGCTAGGAGTAGCGACTGACATGGAGTGTCTGGCTTAGCACAATAGGCACTCAAGTTATGCTCAGAATTGTCACAGGTCGAACTTCTTTGTCCTGATTGTGGGTTAATCTCCAATTTAAAAAAAAAAAAAAATGCAGAGAAAAAGAGAAGAATAATATTTGAATAAATACGGCAGTCGCCGAAGTTCCCATGTCGATCGAAAGAGCAGCAAACTTTGATGTAATTAGTTTCTACGCCGTGAAGGACCAGTTTTACCTTAAAAGTGAAAGTGTGAGCTTTTATAATATTTTTAGATGGTTGTTTTTGCAGTTTATGGTATTAGTCTTGAGTTTTGGTAGGTACATTAAGTTTACAGCATGCATTTATATTGGTAGACGTGTTAGCGGACGTTCTGGTTTTTGCTGGCATGTTACAGAAATGATATTTACAGGCTAAACAAATAACTGAGTGTGAAATGGAGAAGGGAAAGAGGTTTTATTTGAATAAAGTGTTGCGCTATGATTCACTTTTCAACCATATTTTAATACCCAATGTAAATGAAGCCTACTCCGGCTAGAGCCTTTAAGAATGCCGTTTCTTTGTAATAAGTAATATGCTCGAGTATCAAAGAGGAACCCTTGATAACTATCGAAAATGAACTCGCTGAGATGCAATCACTTTCATTCTCAAGTGATGTGTTAACGGAAGCTGGCATCTGCTCCAAAAATGTCAGTGGCTGTTACAGATTGCTGCAGAACCTTCTATAAAAGGTCAAATGCAACTTCCAACGCCTTTACTTGAGGAAGGTCCTTTCTTAACCTGTTGCCGAGCGTGGATTTTAGTTTAACTTGTTTCCCTTTCTTTTTTTTTTTTTTTTACTGGGGTCGCTAGTTTGACAGTTTGGCGGGGCTTCGAAAGTTCCGTTCTGGGCAAGACTCTTACCCTTCTCTTGCCCCTCCTGTTCCAGTTGAATTTCTTCCAAGACCACACTAAGATCATCCTGTGTCCGCTCATGGGTGCGGTCTCCTACATAGACCAAAAGAAAACCTTTCGCACGTACCGTCTCGAGACTCTGCAGAAGATGGGATGCCCTGAGGAGCTCTTCTCGCGGCTCAAGTATGCCAAGGGCATGGTGGAAAGGCTGGCACGAGAGCAGTGAAAGCCCCCCTTGTCCCATCCACGTTTTTTTTTTTTTATTGCTGCGATTGCCCAAGCATTTTTTTACTCAAATGGACGCAGTGAGGTTCCTCACCACAGCTCGTCCAATTTTTTATGCATATTTTTTTATGTGTACCTTGCATAGTTTGCAAAAAAAACATTTGTGTGTACAATGGGTTTTTTATGGCCAAAAAAAAATTTGTGTTTTGACCGAAACTGACTGGCTCAGTTTCTCTTTTGAGCTTCGCAACGTTTATAGATAGCGTTGTGTTTTTTTTTTTTTTTTTTTTTTTTTTTTTTTTTTTTTTTTTTAGTTTGCGCCAACGGCGTTTTTGAAAGAGTGTATTTTTGACATCGCCATGTTGGTTTCAGCCCGACTCTCACAGTTGACGACGAGGGATTGGGGGGGTGGAGGTGGGGAAACGAGAGTATTAGAATTTTTAGCAATTTTATGTGTATTCTATCGATGCTGTGGCCATAAAAATGTATGCAATCCATAGCTGCAGGAATCGAGTTTTTTGCCATTGAAATCCAACTCTTCTCGTGGATGACAATGTTTGCGGTTCAATGCACGCAGGGCCTTTTATTTAATTTTTTGTCCATCTGCCTTGCTATGTACAATAATTTCCATACAGTTATGGCTGTGGAAGTGTGGGAAATGTTCATAGCTCACTACAATTTTGTCCTTTATTTCTCGATTTTGCTTTTATCCTGAATTTTTTTATCATTGCACCCACCTTCTGGACATACTGCAGGAAATGCATGGCTGCCACTTTTGTTGTAGGCAGGGGAACCAGTTATGTTTTAAACTTTGCCTCGATGTCTGCAATTTTTTGTAGAGTCTCGTCGATTGCACGCATTCTTATGGTTGTAGGCATTACTCATTTTATAGGCATTGTTGGCGTGCTGCCATCTATGCATGCCCGTGCGCAGCGACGGTTCCAAATAAACAATTGCGTACCTTGAGTTACTGTGGTTTCTAGTTGCTGTCTGTTGCAGCTGGATATTCTAGCCAACTATGCTCATCAGTGTTCGAAAATATTGGTTCTCATTGATGCAATGTTGGCTTCTCTGGGAAACATGGTTTTAAAGAAACCTCTTTGAAGTGAAGAGGGTCTGGATAAACATGATATGGCATGATGAAGCTAGCATGACCTGGAAGCATGAAGAGAGGCCACATGCCCTCTTCCTGCTTGTATACTTTGTTTCTCCCTAAGTCTGGAAGTAGCAGACACTAAACTGATTGGACCAATCAAACTCAAAAATGCTAGTCACTGAATCTCGTGCCTGTAGTTGGTACAGGTGCAACATGATGAACACCATGCTGCTCTTTCGACGCTGGTCGATTGGTCCTTTTGTGTGCATCCGGACTTCAAGTGAAACCAACACCTAAAAGAGAAGGCCGTAGCGCTCTTCTCGTGACGTCGCAAAGGAAGGCCATCGGGGGCGCGTGTCGAAGCGAAGGCAACGCGCGTGGATCGTCCGTCGTAACGCGCTTTTAGTAGCTTACGCGTGTCTTATTAGCTAAAATGAAAGCTGCACATAGCAGCGGGTCTAGAGAACATTTCATTACCCGGGCAAAACGTTGCACTGCTAAATAGTGGCACGAAATGGCACGAGGTATGCGTACAAGACGTCCATAAAAAAAATGTGATTGCTCCAAGTCGAAAACATTGAGTCGCGCAATTATTGCGGTAGGAATGCATATTTTACAGAAATACCTCGACAAAATGGCAAGACGCGCAGTGATTGGACTCAGCGAAACAGATCACAGTTAAAAATCGGGTAAAAATCAAGTGAACGCGGGCACGACTGGAGAAGGGTCACTTATTATCATGTAAGCGATGTTATTGCGTGCACTCACTGAACTCTGGGATTATACCCCGGCCACAAGGCAAAAGCAATGCAATTCTGATTGAATGACATTATGGGGTTGACAGTTCTGCTGGTAACGCTCGTATAATCACTCAATTGATTAAATTATTTGATTAAATCTCGTATCATTTAATGAAAATGTATGAACTTTCCGTGTGGCAGGGGTACTAAATATTTACAGTCGACCCCCCCCCCCCGCTCAGGTGAGACAACAACAGAGGAGGCGTTGGCTGGGGCCAGCCGAGAGTTCACGCGCATGCGCTCACACCCCTCGCTCTGCGCCGCGGGCTGATTGGCTCGCTGGAGAGGGGGGCGTTACGGCGGCGAGATCATAGACTGGCCAATGCCTGCGCGTCTGCTTACCCGCAAAACAGTGGAAGAGCCAATCTTTGCGATCTAGGAAATCAGCTCAGTGAATGGTGAGGCGGAACATCTGTTTGGACCTCAAAACATAGTCTGCGCTGTGGCATTACGCAATGCAAGCATGACGCTTCACATTGCGTAATGTCACAGCGCAGACTTCATTTTGAGGTTCTAAAGTCTAAACGGATGTTCCGCCTCATCATTTACTGAGCTGATTTCGTCGATCGCAGAGATTGGCTCTTTGAGCGTTTTGCGGGTAAGTAGACGCGCAGGCATTTCTTAGAGTGTACGGCTCTGGCTGCTCTGAACTGGGACGTTTTGTGTTACCGGCGCGCGGACGGACACGCAGCGCCATGGGGTGGCGGTCCTTGAAACTAACGCGCAGCGGCCAATGGAGCCTCGTCGACGCGCGCCAGCCAATGGGACCGAGCCGAAATCCATCAGCTTTACTCCGCTCCTTTGGGATCAGGGAAACTAGGTGCCGTTTGGCTAGGCTTTTCGTGTGGTTTCATAGCTGGGAGCCGGTTTCACTTGGAGAAAGGATTTAAGGTGCCGTTTGGTGCGGCTTCAAAGCTGATGACGTCGGCTCGCTCCTTCGGTGCCGAGGTCGCATTTCAAACCTGGAGACTGCTCCGCCTTGAGCACGAGCTTTCTTGGCTGTCTGCCCTTGCTAACACAAATGTGAACAAACAGGCACGCGCAACCAAAGCACTGCAGAAGCCAGCAAGCTGGCGCTGAAAGCGGAGCTTGTGTCAGCATAACCCGCGATTTATTTGTAGCCTTTTCCTCGTAGATGGCGTAGAATTCTTCCGGAACAAACGAGTTGCATGCTCGCAGCTGCGCATGCATGTCGGACGCTCGGGCCACGAAAGATTTGGTTCGCCCGGCGTCCGCCACTACCGGCGTTGCCCGCAGGTGGTGCATTTTTCTAATAAAATCTGCACAGAAAGGCAACGGGGTGATGAAGAACTCTTTCGCTTCAAAACGAGCTTAAAAGAACCAATGTTTTTCACGAAGAACCTGTTTGGGGTTTACAATAACTTTATAGGGTGAAATATGGAGGAGTCGAAGAACCCTTAAGAATTATTTTACGACCACGTTTTTTTTTTTTTGTTTTTTTTTAGGTTGTGTGTCTATTCGATCGTTTTTGCGATGAATGGGTCTAACGCACTCGCACACAACCGCGTGTTCACTGCGACAAAATTCAAAAAACGAAATTAAAAGAAAGAAAAAAAAGTCACGAAAAAAAAATTTGAAAAAGGCAGCCAGAAGGGGAGCGAGCGACGGCCGACAATGTGACAAATTGGCATGCCCCTCCCCTGCAACGTCACGTTTAAACGTTTTTTTTTTTTTCTATTCTTTTTTGTTTTTTGTCCTAATGGTTGACAGTTGGGAAAGCGTCGCCGACATACATCTTGACTCCGTATCTGTGTTACCCGGGTGAAGACATGGAATGTACCGCTGAGACGTTTCCGTGGCTCCCTTTTCTGGTTCCTATAGTGGTGCACTAAATAAGCGACGCTTCAGAGTAACGACACTTGGCCATATTGTGGCTTAAAATCATGGTTGTCACTTACCTGAAGCTTTATCTGAAATCCCAGGAAACGCCTTTCCGTCCTCCACAAATGTTTAAACAATTCGCAACAGAAGAAAGCAATATTACATGAGCTTCTTAACGTCAAATCTAATGCTGAGGAAGTCGCACTTTTGAATCATGACGATCGGCAGTTGCGTCTGTTCTGCACAAGCACCAAAATGGCGGCGCCCACAACCATGTCGGGGTCGGGGAGCGGCGACTCTTTTTGGTCGTGCTTGTCGTTAATACTCATTGTCACATAAAACAACAAAAAATGTAAGTTTTGCGCATTATTTAGGCGCTGCACGAACAAGTTCTTACAAGATTTGGTCGTCAAAGGAAGAGGTGATGCGTTTGGCGTTTGGAACGTGTACGTCGTGATAAAATGACATAAAGCTAATATATAAGACAACTATATACTAAATACCCCCCCCCCCCCCCCAACCACAAAAAAAAAAATACAATTTTTTTTTTATTGCAAAAATAAACTACGTTTTGCCTAAAGCAGTGGTCGGCAACCTTTCGGCACAGCGGGCCGAGTCGCCGTAAAGCTAAGGTGGAACGGGCCGGACGGCAAGCAGCGGGAAAAGGAAAGAAGGCAGGGGGGGGGGGGGGGGGGGGGGCCTTAAAATTAAAAAAATAAATAACACGTGCGCGAACTCGCACTGGCGTACATAAATCGAAAATGAACAGTTCCTTCATTTCACCGACGCACGACATGAGCTACAACATTTCCACAAAAACCTAGAGACTCCATTCAGTGAGACTTCTGGTGTTGCACTGCGCTCGCCAAACTACGGACATCCACATTTATGCTACTAACTGCGAGTCGCAAAACATTTTGGAGGTTCTCGTCAGCCATTCGTGAAGGCAGGCAACGGGCAGCGAATTAGACAACTTTTTTTTTTCTTCTTTTTTAGCTGACCGCGTTGGGGGGGGGGGGGGGGATGCTATGGGCCGCATGATACTGCCTCGCGGGTCGCTGGTTGCCGACCACTGGCCTAAGGCTCCGCCCAAATGTAGCGCTACAGGTATGAACCAGATGACAAAATTTTAGCTCTATCCGTTTCCTTATTAAAAAGTTAGAAGTGATTTTTTAAACTTTTATTGGGAAAACGGCGGCCGTCAGAGCTGGCTCAATTTTTAAATTAAAAATGTTAGAAAATCACTTATAACTTTTTTTTATAAGGGAAAGGCTAGTTTTGAATGTTCGACATGAAAATTAAAGACGTTCCGTGAGAAGCTGGGCTCTTTGACCATACGGTTCTTCAGATGAACGCGAGTATGCGAGCTGGGTCAGCTTGGCCGCAGGAGTTTCTTATCGTA